ATGGCGATCGTTATTTCAGTGTGCTCCGTTGTGGTGATGACTGGATGTGGAAGACATACAATTTCTCTTTGGCTAGGAAAAAGGGACAAACTTGCCTCGGTGTAGGCTACGGAAAGGGCAGATTCTTTTGCTTATTTGAAATGGGAGATATGGTGATTTTCAGCACTGACAAGAATGAGACGAGAATGTTGCTAGCGGCCACCAAACCTTTGCTTCTTAAGCGACTCGAGCAATGGGACAGTTTGTGTGTTGTGGCAGTGGTGAAACAAAAAGCCACGTCTGGAAGTGATCAAAATCATGAGATAGGAAAGATTATGAAGTTTACGATAATCACTCATTGGGAGCGAGATGATGAGGCGCGTGACAAGAACAACTTCAGATTGGTGGCAGTGGTGGAAAAAATTACCACGACGGCTGATCTATTACTGGATAATGATGATGATGATGATTGTGAGATAGTGTCAACGCTGGAGGATGGGGAAATTAACAAGGGATTGATTGTAGTGAAAGATAAGCTGCCATTGAAGAGGAGTTTCCACAGCTTTTATATTGTCGCACTATCTTTTCTTCCTCCTCTGGTTCTCCTTCTTGGTGCTTCTTGGATTGTTAGCCTTTTGATTCGCAAGTTGAAGTGTGGTTAAACTCAATGTAATGAAGGGGCAGGGCTTGTGATTTTTTGGTTGAATAAAATTGAGCTGACGATGCAAACCATTATTACTTTTTATATTGTTGTACTTGTAGCACACCTTATAAAAATGATTTGCAGTCTTAAAAATTGAAATCGATTCTTCAAAGTGATTTGTAGTCCCTCATGTGATCTCAATAAAGATTTGCGAAACCATGTTTTGGTATATGATAATCTTTTAAATAACCACTACAAGAAAATAGGGGGTATAGAGACAATGCAAATATATCTCTACAGGGCATTTATTTGTCTCTATATTCCTACAGATACACATAATATATTTGATATGATCCCAAATTGGCCATCAATCACGCTGGAATTGATTGACCAAGAAAGGTAAGCAAAGTACATTAAAGAACACTGAATTTTGGCTAAGTTCTTTTATAGTTTTAGGTAACCAACTTTGCACGTGGGGAACTTGTTATTGGCTTAATGAAAATTCGAGTTTAAGGCCTTGTTTTGAAGATGAAGAGTTTATCTTTCCATTTATGTGCTTTGGAGCTCGAGAGGAAGCCCGGAAAAGTGATTTCCAGGTCGATCAAGTTGCTAGCTCAACATGGGAAAAACTGTCGAAATATTCTAAGTGTTGGAACGAGTTCGGAAGGAACTTTGGAAGCCTCAATCAAAGGGATGACATGAGAGTCGATCTTCAAGAATCATACCTCATGAAAGTAGGTTTATTCTACTACAACGACATGGCGTTGGATGACTGGAATGAAGAATGGAAGGCCTCGAACGAAAGCTCCAAAGGTCGTATCGAAGCTGAGTTTCTGTCGCCAAGCAATTTCTTTCATAAGATCATCTTGCATATCCTTGCTCATGCTCACCTCTTCAAAGCTCAGTGTGGGATGTGGGAAGGTGTGGTCGGCTATGACAGGACATTCCTGATCATGATCGTCACAGGAGCTCTCCGTGACAACTTCTGTATGCTCCACATTGTCCTTGTAGCCTTCTTCTTCCTCCTCCTCTTCTAGTATGGTAGCCGAAGGGTGATCTGGAGCAGGTTGTGCACAAGATTGCTCAAGATCATCGACGCTCTTCTTAAGGCTCAGGAAGATCTCCTCTGTTTCACGATAGGCCTAGGTTCAAAGATCCATCCTAGACAATGATCTCTCACTGTCTCGAGCAAACTGCTCCATGAGAAGCCTCAATTCATAGTTTGGATCTGGCTGTGGAGTGTAGCATGGCTCTGCAGAATGGCCCGTGAAGGCCGCCATGGGTAACTCCAGCTCCGATGGCCCTTCTGGTTGTGGGAGAAATTCTTCTTGATAAGGAGGTTGTTCTTGATATGCCCAGGGGTCGGATTGTTCACCGTAGTAAGGGGGTTGGTACTGGACCCCGAATCCATAGTCTTCTCCTCCTTGATTGCTCCAGGGAGTCTCAGGGTAATACCACTCGGATGTTGGTGGATACCCCTAATGATTGGAGAAGCCATGAGGATCCATGATTCAGATATGCACCAACAAAAACAAAAACACCCAAGTGAAAAGCAAGGGTGGAAAAGAAAAGAAAAACGCTAAAGTAACAAACTTCTGCCTTTCCTAATACTCTAGAAAGTCCCCGGCAACGGCGCCAAAAACTTGACTCGCTATGACACAACTCCTAACAATGGCCAAGTGTAACCAATGAAAGGGACTGTAGTATAGTGGCTCAAGTAATAAATATCGAATCCACGGGTCTCTAGAGTTACTATTACTCAGCTTCAGTTCATTATCTAGCAAACCAGATTAAGATGGAAGAACTAAAACTACTCTAGCAAACTGCAGTTAAAGTTAATCTAATTACAGGTTGGGAACTCACTTAGGTATGATTCCCCCTAACCACTAGCCAGATTAATGATTGATGATCTCTAACCTGTTTCAAATTCATTCACAATGCGGAGAATCCTTAACTAGACCTTGAATCTCGACTAAAGGATCAAGGCCCTCTTGAGTCAATTGCCTAGAGGGACGTATCCTTCTCTAGAACAACCGATCAAGGCGTTTTGAACTAGACTCCCTCTATCGAAAGAGGTTCTCAATCGATACAAAGCAGTGAATCAACCCTCGACTAAAGCAATCAATCCAATACTATCAATCTATGGTGCTCTATTGACCTAATCAGGTATTCGCTCTCATAGGATCAAAGCAGAATCAATAATCTCGACTAAAGCAGAATTGAATCATGAAAACATGTATAGATTGAATATGAACTCAAGATTATCAAGTAGGAGTACTCATACAATCATCCAATCAAACATACATGGCTAGGGTTCCTCAAAACCTAAGTGAAGGGAAGTTACTCCATAGAGAAGAGAGAGACTGCAGTAAGAATCTTCAGATGATCAGTCTTCAAGTCCGGACTTGTATTCCTTGAGCTTCCAAGGCGAAGAAATCATCCAATTCCACTCCAAGAATGCCCTCAAATCGCCCTCTCTCTCTTTGGTTCGTCCCTTGGGTGTTTGGGATCCGAAACCCAGCTCTCCCTTGCAAAAACGCACAAAATAGGCTTTTAACAGCCTGCGTTCGCGATCCCCGGTCAGAATCCCCTGTCGGGTATTTTAGGTCACGGCTGGGATTTTTGGTTCACGACCGGGGATTTTTGAAAACGCAACATCTGGAGACAGGGGAAAATCCCCTGTCAAGGCCAAAAATCCCCTGCCGGGGATTTTAGTGTCACGATAGGGCCCCCTTCTGTTTCTCAGAGAAGCCCGAAATCAATTTTCCCTTATCTTTGATTCTTCGTTTCTTCCTCGTTCGGACTCCAAATCAGGTGTCGTTTGATCCCAGATGCTCGTAGTCTCGTCCTCTTTCTTCTCATGACAATATTACATGATTATATGGTCACAAACTGAGGTAGAAATCCATTCTTCTTCAAGTCATACCCGAGTTTCTTCCCCCGAGTCGCCAATTGATCTCCGATTGACTTGAAACTTGCGCCTACGCTTCACTTTATGTGCTAGGACCTGAAATGTGACAAAGGAACACAACCTAGCGTAAAATAGGCCAAAGAAGCGATAATGCAAGCTTAAACGATCAAGAAACAAAGGGGGAAGCATGTGCAAATATCGAGTCATCAACATTCGTGAATAAAGTATAAATATTTTGCTTATACTTATTAAAAAGTTTGTTGCATATATTTTTTATGTGGTGCTTAAAATTATGTTGCTTCACTAGTATAGATATGCAACATTTTTTTTTTTAAAAAGTGTTAATTATTACTTTATACAATGTTACGAATAAAGTATAAATATTTTGCTTATACTTATTAAAGAGTTTGTTGCATATTTTTTTTTGATGTGGTGCTTAAAATTGTGTTGCGTTCACTTGTATAGATATGCAACACTTTTTTTTCTTGCCAAAAAGTGTTAGTTATTACTTTATATAATGTCATCTATAGGCGACATTTTTACACTTCCTGTAGCACATGAAGCGTAAAGGCTTTTTCTGATAGTGCTTACAATGGCTCAACACATATAATTAAAAATCTCTGAAGAATTATTTTAGCTAGCTAGAAGCCATTCATGAGATTTGATATGGTAGCTATGAGAGCTTGGCCAGCACCAGGTCATTGCTCGATCAATGAAGCTTTCATGGTGGCTATCTCTTTGATGGAGCCATTTTCATGTGACATGTGTAATTCTCGTCTTAGCTTGTACATTTTTCCTCTTGCGCTTTGTCTTCCTAAAATTGGTGAAGCATTTTTCGATGACGGATCCAATTCAAATTAGTATCGTTGGAGAATGTATACGATAGAATATATAGTAAAACAAAATGACACATTTGTAAAGTGGCACTGAGATGATACCATAGAATATATAGTAAAACAAAATGACACATTTCTCATAATTTGATAAGTGTAAGGGCTAGTTAAATACCTGACAATGACCTGGTGGTGCATTAGCTAAGTAAAATCTCATTTAAGAAATTTATTTGAAACCAATGATTATTGAATTGCGTAACTTGTTTTTCGTGTACCACATTTATAACCAACCAGAGAAATTTATACTTTCTTTTTGCATGTTTATAGTCCTAACAATTCTCTTAGTTACTAACGAATCAATAAATTAAACCACATACGACCAAAGAATCACATGGAATTACGAATAGTCAAAAGGTAATGTGAAACCATAATGTGGAAAAGAGCAAATTCATAGTATTGACTACTTCATCGGCCTTTAAATCAGCCACTTCCCTCTCCTCATATTGTAACAAACAATCCCACAATTACATTACAGTTTCACCTTTTGTGTGCATAATTGTAGACCTAACTGATCTAGTTGATTATAACTTCACCATACAAAATGAAAAAGTTCATTGAAACCACACAAATTTTTTTTGATAATAATTAAAGACAAAAGATCTCGAAAGGAAAGTTGACATAATACGAATATGGGAGAGGATCAACGACCATGGACCGACGTATGTCCAGAGCTCTTGGATTCCATCTACACGAGACTTCCATCTCACGTCGACGGTACACACTTCGGCAATGTATGTAAGAACTGGCATCAGGTCCACTCCCACGTCGCACTTTCTAATCCACTACCTGTGTTCATCAACCATGCAAAATTGTCCAGCTCGGACGTCATCCAAGTGCAAGAGGATGGGCGACTTTTCCTCCAACGACGTCGTGAATCTCAAATCCCACATTGGCTTTCAGGTGCAGAAATAACTATCATCGGGAGGGCGGGTGCGTGGTTTCTTATAAAAGTGAATGGCATTTACTTGGGTTGTTACAATCCTCTACTTCGAACTCCTGGAAACTACATCAGTCTTCCCCAACCAAGTTGGCTTTTTTCTAACTTTAATCGTCATTACACATCAGACACAATAATCAAGTTTGCTTTTTCAGCACTACCCACTGCTCCTTGCTCGATGATCCTCATGGTGTATGGAGACCGCTATTTCAGCGTGCTTCGTCGTGGGGAAAATGGATTTGAGCAAAAAGGATACTGTTTTTCTTTGTGTGGGAAAAAAAGACAAATTTGCCTCGGTGTGGGTTATAAAGACGGAAGATTCTTCTGCTTATTTGAAATGGGGGATATGTTGATCTTCAGCATCGACGAGAAAGAAATGAGGATGATGTTGGCAGCAATTAAGCCTATCCTTCCTGATAAACTCCGTCGATGGAAAGATTTGCGTGTTATGGCGTTGGTTGTAAAAGAAGTCATGGCTGCAGATGATCGATATCATGAGGAACGAGAAGTGCTAGTGTTTATCACTTATTGGGAGCGATATGATGAGGCGAGTGAGAAGGATAACTTCCGACTGGTGGGAGTGAACGAACGACTTATGACTACGACACGTGATCTATTATTTGAGAATGATTGTGAAAAGGAGTTTCTGGAGGATTTGAGCAACAAGGGATTTATTTTAGTGAAAGAATCGTTGCCATTGAAGATGAATTTGGAAAGATCTTCCTTGGATATAGTACTATTTATAAGTAGTTCTCATTTTTGGCTTTATCTTAATTCTTGGATTCAAAAATTGATTGTCAAGTTGTTCCCTTAATTTTATGGACATGATAAAATAAGTTAAACCTAACACTTACGAGTTGTGAAAAGATAGGAAATATTAGGATATTTTCTCCTTTTCTATTTGTGTTTGTTGCTAAAAGAACAACTGGAAGATAATTTACTTCAAGGCGCAAGCTAGGTTTGCAGGCCAACCCTCCTACCCCTTCACTTGTCTGTCATTGGCTCAAATTTCTTTCTTGATTCCATTTTTATAAGTTGGATAACATATGCATGCATGGTGTTAATTGGACGAGAGATTCTCAACCCTAATAGTGTTAAATCTTGCCAATTATAAATACAAATTAAAACATCAACTTTGCTTAATTTGCACAAGAGCTATATAATGCACAAGGTCTTTAAGATACTCTGACCTCACATCTCTAGGATGATACCATGAAATTTTTCAAAACATGATAAGTAATTGAGTATAAAGACCAATTGTTCGCACAAGATCTACAAATTTATCATGTAGGCACATTATTCAAGTTAAGCGAGATCTCTTTCAGAGGTACGTTTAATAACATCGCATATTCACATTTATTTGTACATAAAACTCATTGATTATTTGATCTTGGAACTTATTTGTTATGTACTTCACATACGAAAAATGATCTTCCGATAGCTAACCATAACATAGGAATTAAGTATTAATTTCACAAGCAAATAAATTAGTGAATTAGGATTATAAGAGTGCATTTGAAGTCCGAGTAAGTAAGCGACCAAGTTATAGTTAAATAATATATATATATATAAACCTAGTTCACCGAAAAAGAGCTAATGCTAAACCGACGTGTTTAATAGGGCTCTTGAGTTTTCTCCGTTGGGCCCATCACCAACTAAATGTTTCTCTACTATATCCATCATCCTTTCCTTTTGTCTTTCTATTTGCTTCCATTGTGTAACCTAACCATAATCACTAATCACAATGTCAAATTCTCATTAAGAAAGAAAACTTTAGATGACTAGAATCTACATGTAAAGTCCATCTATCCCTTTTTGCCCATTGTGTTTTTGTCATTGTTTTTCTTCTTCCAAACTCTCCAGTCACGCTCCAATTATACTCAACCAGAATTGCATACTCAACCAGATCGTGGAACTTCACCAAACACTATTCTGCAATGCTCCTTCCAGATTGTACCAATGCACCAGCACCATCAAGCTGGCTTTCACTATTTCCTTCCTCGGCCTTCTTATTTATCAACCTCAACATCTCCTCCCAATTGGTAGGCACCCCAACTGGTCTCCTCATCCTTGAATTCAGGAACTCATTACTGTACCTACATCCACAGAAAATATGTTCTCTATTCACTAGTATTCTTCTCACAAAGGATCATAACTATTTCGATTCTCACGAATAACTTATATTAGTGAACTTATAAATATACTTCAACTATTTTGGTCTAAGTTGTTTCACAAGTATTTGAAGTATCTTACATGAAACATATAAAATTCGTGAGAGTCCGAGAATAAATTAATGCCTCAATTAAACAATCGAGACCGTGAATAATTTTAGACTTTGGTATAGACAATATGTGTCTCTAAGTTAATACATTCAACTACTTATCAATGAATACTAACTCTTGGCTAAGTGTATCAAACATCAATATCGGAACTTTTCAACTTTTATCGTCCCAATAATGATTAGTTTATATCTTCGTTATACACCAAAGATTACTAGTACTTTACTAACATACAAATAAAGTTTATTGATGTTTAAACTAAGTCTTGGTTAGGACATGTAATATTGGTTATTTTACATTTTACTATACCATTTTTAGTGAAGAATCGGTAAGTAAAAAAAGTTACTATTTTTGTCTAATCCAAACTTTTTTTTATCTTTAACATCCTCACAATTGTTTTCACTATTTAATATAGTGGCTAGAACTAATCATAAACTTTACTTAATTGGCCAAACCTGAGAATTGACTATTACGTTGACCGTTGTCCGTTGACTAACGATCAACCCGTCATATCACTGACCAGTCAACATATTGTGAGTTAAATATTCACATTTTTCACAAAATATCAATTTCGTATTTAGTTTGACTAAAAATGAAAAATCAAAATCAAAATTTGTTCCTCTCCACTTCCTTCCCAACCATCTCCCTTCCTCGAATTGTCGAGAAAATTGCAACGGTGGCCCAAGGCCAAAACCCCTAAGACCATCTTTATTTCTAGGCTAATATTCCAGTAGTATTTCAATTTTTTTTTTCCAAAAGATCACTCGTATTACCGAGAAAACGGCCAGATACAAAATAGTCACATAGCTGAAAACAGCCAAGAAACAAAATTGAACCCCACCAAAGAAGGGGACAACGAAAGGGCTTTTCTTGCCACCAAATGGGCAACCCTATTAGACTCCCGACCCACAAAAATAACCCGAAACTCCTGGAACAAGTCACGCATACTTCGAATCTCCTCCAATAGCATCCCTCCATAGACATCATCTACCTCACCCTCCCGGGTCTTCCACACGATCACTTGGGCGTCACCTGCAAAAATCATCGAATTGAATCCAAACGCCAAGCACCATCGAAGCGCATCCCGGAAGGCCAGTAGTTTCACAAGAGCCGGCTCCGAAATCCCCACATACAGTGCTGCCGATGATGCCACCACCATGCCCATGGGATCCTGAAGAGCCCAACCTCCCGCTCCATGTGAACCAGGCATCGTAGCTCCATCCACGAACATCACGAACTCTCCCAACGGAACATCCTCACGGCCTCTGACAACTTAGCCCCCTGAGTAACGACAAACACCTCGGCCGGTAAGTATGCCATCCCACTCCGCAACCTGCAAACGAAATTGAGATAACAACACCGGAACAATGTACCGAGTCAGCTCAAAGACCACCCAATTACGGGCCTTCCAAATGCGCCAGAAAAGAGCTACAATATGCATCATGGCCCCCTGATCAAGCTCCTGCCACTCGAGTAACCTGCGCCAAAAGATCCCAACATTGCAATGGGAGAAGCGATCGCGAATGGCCATTAGCTCCGCCCCTTCCCACAACCCCACCGCTACTCGGCAGCGGAAGAAATGGACTGGACCAAATTTCAGGTGCAAAATTGGCTCACAAAAAGACAAAAAGTTCTAAAATCACGAAACCCAAAAGGCTAGCAACGAACAACGCTCCGGGAGGAGCGAGTATGTTGCACGCAGGGATGGAACAACTCCCTTCCCGCCCATGTTCTGCACCACCATGAATACCGCTGGTTAATTTCTTCCCCTTTTTATATATGCACCCCCTAATTAATTCCTACCGATTTAATTTTATTCCCTAAAGTGCAGACCCTAATTAATCTCTCCCATTTAATCTCTTCCCCAAAATCAAACCCACTAATTCGGGATGAGATACAGTCACAACCCCTAGAAGGTTGTGCGTTTCACAACCCACTTTATTGTTATTAGATGTAATCTCTCTCACGACTCTCTTCTGTCATTTGTAAATTGATGATTGAGATGAAATGAAAAGTATTTTTGTGAGAAAAAACTTACCACACTCAATAATTCTCACTCGCATATAAAATAATAAAACACTAACCTAACCCATACCAACTCAAAAACTGTTCACCTCCTTCTCCACTTCTTCTTTCTCTTCCGCGAACGTTGTCACCGCTGCCACTTTCACCTCTCTCTTCCTCTACCATGCCCGTAGCCACACTCCGGCCTCCGCCGCGCCCGGTGTCCCCGTCCCTCTTTCTCCCCCCCCCCCCGGCTCCCGCCGTCTTTACCCCATCGTCGCATTGTCATTGACTCTTCCTTGCTTCCGCCTTTCCTCATCCCTGATTTTTTCTAGATCTATGAATTTTCATATTCCAGATCTGATTTTTTGTGTTAGTTTCTACTGATACGCTACAAGTGAGCATTGGTGGCGTACCATTACCAGCAGTGAGTATTGTGGCATACCACTGCCACTGGTAGCGCTATTGGTACGCTACCACTGCTCACTGCCTCTGGTACGTACCAGTGACTAGTGGCAGTGGCGAATCCACGAATTCTACATAGGGGTGTCCTCTTCTAAAAATTTAATTTAATTAAATATTAGAATTAAATTAATAATTATTAAATATGAAAATATCTGACTAATAAAAGTTACATTAAAAGTTCATACGTGTTTCGAAAAATGGTGATATATGGTGTCTATACTGCTCAATAAATATATCTCGACATATCCTATTAGACAAGGGTATCCGGTAATTGGGTTCAGTCGTTAAGTTTTGAAAAATAAGAATAACACTTTACTATTATATTTGGATCTAAAACACAATAATAAATGAGTTGTAGTGCAATTGAAAATAGGTTTACTAATAAAGGCAGTGTCCCAAGTTTAAATCACATAGACTACTACTTAAATATTATTTGTACCAATACGCAAACTACTACGAGAGGTTGGATAATCATTTTCTCAAAATTTAAGGGTGTCCCACTACCACTTAAACATATTTTTTTTGCTTATACGCAAACTACTATCGTAGGTTGAATAATCGCATTTCCAAATAAACACGCATGTATCCGCCACTGACTAGTGGTAGCGTACCAGTACTTATTGGTACGCTACCACTAGACAAAAATCATTGCCATAACGAGTATGGTTGAAAGATTTCACTGGAGAAGGTCTGTCGGTCTGAGAAAGTCAGCCGATCGGAGTGAGTGGCTGTTGGAAAAGGAAGAGAGAGAAATGTATTTGTGGTATGATTTAATTCTAAAATAAAACAATGGATTTAATATGGATTTTAGATTCCCAAAATGTAATTAATATAAAAAGAAAAGTAATTAATACGGTTCTTTTTCACTACCCAAATTGTCTTTGGCTGTGAAACTCACAACCCCCTTGACGGATGTAACTGTATCGCATCTCGGTGGAATGCTTCTTAAATTGATGACAAGAATCATATTAGGTATTTCCCCTTTATATTAGCTTTTGTCATCAACTAATCCACTGTCTATTGTGTTTTAATAATAGGTTAATAGCATTTTATACCCGTGTACTATAGCAAGTTAACAAATATACTCTTTTATTATATTTTTGCACAAATGTACCCTTTATTATCAAAATGTTGCAAACATACCCTTCTATCCAACATTCCGTTAACTAACCGTTAAAGGGGACGGAAAATGACTAAATTGTCCCTCATTTATTACATAAATTTCATTTATCTTGTTTCTAAAAATAAAAACGTAAATATTTTTTTATTTTTTCATACATAACTTCAAAATTTTATTTTTCTTCTCCTTTCACTTATTTTTCTGTTTTTTTTTTGTGGCTGAAAAAAGAGAAAAACATAATTTAAAACAATGGGGCAATTTGGTCATTTTTCATCCTCTTTAACGGTTAGTTAACGGATTGTTGAATGGAAGGGTATGTTCGTTACATTATCATAATAGAGGGGTACGTTTGTGCAAAAATATAATAGAGAGGTATGTTTGTTAACTTGTAATAGTATGGAGTGTAAAATGCTATTAACCCTTTCTTAATTGATGATGTTATATTTGGTGACAAAAAAAAATACGGTACAAATTAAAAAAAAATGTACGGAATAATCAATTATTAGTATCTATATAAAAATTATGAATAAATTTTGTAAATCTACACTAAAATAGATTATGAGTTAAACTGGAATTGTGTAATTATGGACTTTTGAAACTCACAGCAAACTATTTTGGAGAGGCTAGAATTTGATTTCTAGCATCAAAATACGAACTTTTGGAAGTGTTAAATTCTAGCCTCAAAATTTGAACTTTTGGAACTTAACACTAAAGATGGTGTAGTATGCAACAAAAAATCAGAGGCTTAGAAAGAAGTAGTGATTAAGTCTATAGGATCTGCTTCTTCGATTTATACTATGTCTGTGTTTCGGCTCCCCTCTTTCACTTGTCGCAGGTTGAATGGGCAGCTTTCCCGATTCTGGTGGGCTGATCAGGATAAAGAAAAGGGTATGCACTGGCTCTCCTGGCAAGAAGTTTGCTACAGCAAATTTGAAGGGGGTCTCGGGTTCCGAGACTTTGAGAGATTTAACATAGCTCTTTTGGCGAAGCAAGCCTGGAGGGTGCTGCAGAGTCCGGCTTCCACATTAGCTCACTTGTATCGGGCCCGTTATCACCCAAATTCTTCCTTCCTAGAGGCAAAGGTGGGATCAAGACCCTCTTGGGCTTGGCAAGGATTGCTAGCAGGGCGGGATCTCCTTTTACGCGGACTTCGGTGGCGAGTTGGTGACGGTGTTCGCATCCGCGTATTAACAGATAAGTGGCTTCCCTCTGACCCTCCTTCTTCTCCTACTCTTCTTGCGTGTATCAATTGGTGCCCATTACTTGTTGCTGATCTGATCTGTCCAGTGTCCAGGGCTTGGAATCGGGACTTGCTCGTTTCACTGTTCACCAGCGAGTCTGTAGAGTTGATCCTCTCCATCCCCCTTTCTTTTCGGCTGCTGCCGGACCGTTTGGTTTGGCATTACACGGCTAATGGGGAGTACTCGGTTAAGTCGGGGTACCATGTGTTGTCTAATGAACTGAAAGTTGTTCATCCACCTTCTCCTCTTCCTTTTGACAGCAGGTTTTGGAAGCTGCTTTGGAGTCTCCCGCTGCCGTCCAAATTAAAATTCTTCTGTTGGAGGATGGTGCGCGGATTCCTCCCAGTTCAGGCTGTCCTTCTGTTCAAAAGATTGGTCGCGGATGCAACATGCCCGGTTTGTTCTCAAGGATCGGAATCTATTATGCACCTCTTTCTTTCTTGCAGAGTTGCCAAAGAATTATGGGAGCTGGCTGGATGGGGAAACTTGCGCAGGTCACTTGAGAATCACCCTCATGCGGATTGTTGGAATCAATTATTCTTTTCCCGGCATCTCTCTAAAGTTCACATTGCAGACATTGTTTTCATTTGTTGGCGCGTTTGGAAGGCAAGATGTTGGTCCATTCATAAACATATACAGTACCGTGGGTGTGCTCTGCTTCGTCAGTATAGGGTTCAGGTTGCTGAATGGGTTCAAGCCACTGCTCCTTTGACGTTACGGCAAGAGGCGTCGAGCTCGCGAGCTGCCTCAGCCCGCCGTCAAACACAGCCTACTGTTTCGGGTCGTGATGGAGCTTGTCCCGCCGGGGGAGTGCTTGTTCGATTTGATGGATCATGGAAAAAAGGAGTCGGCGGTGGAATCGGGTTTGCCGGCTTCTCTCCTACAGGGGGCCTACTCTTCGCCATTGGCAAGTATTACCCAGGTATAACAGACCCTTTTATAATGGAAGTTCTAGCCTTAAGAGATGCAATTGCTTGGTGTCTAACACATGGGTTCTTTGTTGTGAACTTTTGTGGGGATTCCCAACTGCTGACGCGTCGAGTTCGGGAGCGGGATGTTGCACATGGTGCTGGAGGGGTGCTGCTCGAGGAGATCTGTCTGGCGGCTGATGGTTTCACTAATTTTTCTTGTACTTTTACACCTAGGTTGTACAATAGGGCTGCCCATTTAGTGGCTACTAATGCCCTCTCATCGGCAGTTCGGCTAGCGACCGACTGCCGCGTTTGGCTTTTAAATATCTTGTAATATCTATTTTCTCCATATCTATGACAAAAAAAAAAATCAGAGGCTTAGTAACCCCATTCCGGCATTACCCCAACTCTCCTATGCTTCCTCCATTTGAGCTGCGTAGCCCACCAATCACCTCCTTCAACCCGGTCTCCTCTACTAGAAACCCGAGCCCACAGTCACCCTTACCCAGCCCACACATCTATCTTCCAACTAGCCCATTTCACTACCCCGTCCATCCGGCCCACACCTTCCCTCTTTTGGCCCACTCCACTCGACCCATAGACGTTGATGACCATCCTCCCCAGCTCGACCATCTCCCAAACTCGACTCCCCAAATAACCCTCACTCCCTTTCTTCGACCCTATGCCCCCACGACGCATGGTTAGTCGTCAAACCCAAACTAGAAAGTTGAAAGTTGAAACCAAAGCAATTTCTTGCTTATACTAAGTTCGATCTCCCTGCGGCTGATGTTCAGGCCATTATCCAAATAAACAAAAGAGGTTGAAAAGGCAACCCTAGAATAGAGGCATAAACACCGATTCTACAACCCAAATTAACTCAATCAAGAGAAGTTCTGACAATAAAAGAGAGTATATAAAAGTTGACCGCGAGACATAAACTTAAGTTCTACCTATTTTTTATTGAAATCTCTCATATATGTTATTATAAATTTTACATGATTAGTCGATTTAAGACCATTCAGTGCACCGAGTCAAATATATCCATTTGAGTTTGACTTACCATGTGGTTTCTTGGTTATTGTACATGCTAGGAACATTTGTGCCAATGCCCTTGGCTATAGAGGAAATTTGGTCATTTGGTTAACCTGGTTTTTGCTTATTAGAGTCTATGTCCAAATCAGTCCGCTTAACCACTTTGATATATTCTGGAAAAAAATTCTCATCATCAATTATGTACTCATACGCAGGTGATTTTTCATGTACCACAATGGTACATCAATAAGTTACATTTGATTCATTGTGGTTCTGTTGGTTTTGCTACTTGGTTAAATCATATTTTATATGCAAAATAATTTAAATTAAATGATAGAAGGTAGGAGTCCTTTAAAATTCCCAAAGAGGAAAACATGAAGGAGATAAAGCGTGTCATGTGGAACACTCTTCTATTTTATTTTTAAATTTAAAAATCTCATTTGCCTCCTCTTGATCGGTCTAACAGTCGGACCTTTCTGATTTCCGCGACAGGGAGCGATGAATTCACTGATACGATGGGGAGGATTGATCGCTCTTTTATGAAGTCTGGATCATTCGACGGGTGTTGTTGACAACTATAAAAACTTAGAGTTGAATTCATAAAGTTTTACTAGAAAATGTTTGGACTGAAGTACACTAAACAAAAATAATCGAAACAAGCTAGAATCAGTGAATCATTGAGACAAATTAAGACCACGGTTTTTCACATTCCAGCTTTATTCTTTCCATACTCCATAGAACAATAACCGGAAATAATAACAAGAAAACTAAAAGAACGAAGATAACAAAATAATAGCGGTGGAACCGGTGGACGGCATGGGTGTTGTCCCATACTTTATTCTTCCCATACTTTGATTAGTAATAAAGTGTTTTCTCGCAATCCATCGCTGAGCTCTCTCACTCTGCTCGCGCTCTTCCTCACTTGGATTCCAATTCCCGATCTCACATGGAGCGAGACCGGCTCTTCTCCTTATCCTTCAATCCCACAAACTCCAGCAAGCCGATCGTGAAATCAATACTCCTTGACCTAACGTCGTCACCGCCGGACCTGCGGGCCAATATCCCGTCAGCAAGTCCTGTGGAAGAAGACGAGCCCACCATCGCCCCGCCGCCGGACTCGCGGGCCAACATCGCTTCCGTTTCAAGGACAGCACGTACTTCGGAAGAAGACCTTCCCAGCATCGCCTCCTCATCACCGTGCGAAACAGAAGCATGCCGCGGCTCCTGCTGCTCCCTTTCGGTGTCACCATCGGTTGGCTGGATGAAGCCTGGAGGAGGATCGGCATTCTCTGGTCTCTCCTGGAATCCACACGTACCTGCCCTCCCCTTGTCGTAGATCCTATCTGTGGCCGGACGGTACTCGTCCAGGTACTTGCCAAGGCAGATCAACAGCACCAAAACGCAGGAGATAGGCACCGCATAGACCAAATTCGTACCCACAAACTCACCCTCATCATTCCATATCACTACCACGCCCCAGGCGGTGCTTGCCGTGGTGCTGCACATACATACATACCAACAGAAGAAATTCGTTTCAGGCAGGGCGAAAAAATGGCATAACGGAATTCGAATTCTACTGATTGAAAGCAGAAATAAACTCACCAGATCCAGGCGCTCGTAAAGTCGAAGGTCACCCGGAACATCATAAAGCGAGAGAAGGAGTACGCGTACACGGTGTATGCCAGAACAACCCAGGGTTTCAACTCCGCTCTCGTCACCAGTATGCCAATCACAACGGCGAAAATGAAACCGCCCACCTGGAGAGGAGCTCTACCAGTCCAATGCATCAGGCGCAACGTCAATCCTTCCAGGGGCCACCACCTGCCATTCAGACAAATCTTGACCGCACAGTAAACGGAATAGAAGAACGCTACTACGGCTACCCAGGTCAGCAAACGATCTTTCAGAGCAAGCAAAATCATCCCCAGTAAAGACGGAACTCCACCCACCCAGAACCAAAAAAAATAGTTCTCATATTGCCATTTCCGGAACTCGTCCAAATAGTTGGCCATGGCGGAAAAGGGGAGAAATGGGAAAGGCATGGCAGAGAAGACTGAGTGAGAAAAGGGGAGATGATGCTGGGGAAGGGAGACAATTTTTTAAATATTTTTTCTCCCTCCCAGGAGAATGAGACGCTTTTTGACTCTGCTCCCCACCAACCAGCAAACAGCTTGTGTATTATATACATGATCGCCCATCCACGTGGCGGCATATCATTGGATTTCTCGTATTAAATTGGATCGATGGCTTTTCTCCGCCCAACGGCCAGGATGAAAGGCAAACTAAATCAACGATTACGATTAGTCGAAAATTGATATTTGGATTTTGGGTGACATGGATCGAGCGGGCCCTCCACTTCTAGAAGAAATTCAGGCAAACAAAATTTCAAAATCAATTTTGAAATTTGCCCAAAATTTTCGAATTGTCTGAAAATTCAAAATTGCCTTGCGGGATTCTCGATCATGTCGAAGCTTCTCTGTTTTCCATCGCCTTCTTCCAATCTCTTTTCTCTCTGCCTAATACTAAACAATCGAAAAAGTTCATTCCTCGTCTTAGCCAGGGAGACCTATACCGATTTAGTCGTCCTCCATTCTCCTCCCAATCGTCTCTCCTCCTTCCGTCTGCTGGCCTGGATTGTTCTCCCTCAAGGACGAAATCACCGCCGGGTTGGCCGAGAGAAACAAGCTAGAGGAGGAGTTTACTTCTCCGACCTGGAACATCTGCTGAGACCGTTGACACTTTGTACAAGGCTGTTCTGGAATACGGCACCACGCTGGTCGTCAAGCGGCTGAAAGACGCGTTGGTTTTTGCTCTGTTTTACTTCACTCAGGTTTAGGCTCTCTTCTTCGTCCTTTTCCATGATATGGCCTTCGTGCTGAGTTTAGATTCTTGAAAAATTATAGATGATATGTGGTTGATTTCTCGGTCTATATTGCTCTGGGTTCTAGTCTGTTTCTTTTGGAATAATGTACTGCTCATCTAAGGGCTTAATTTCCGTCAGACTGCTGTCAGTTCTTGTGCACCCTTCTAGCTTCTGAAAATTCCCCTGAGAATTTGGACAGGAAGGTAGGAATGGGATGGGACTTGCTGTTGAGACTACGCAGCAATGTTGAACCACCCTTGGTTATCCCATACGGAGTAACACATATAATCATCTTATTGCCGTTTTCATGCTCTACCTGAAGTGTACCGTTGTGGGATGAACCAATCTAGATAACGCTAGTGACTAGTTTGATCGCCTACAAGTGTCCCAGCTATGTAGTTCATGTCTACAGACTTCTTCTCCTGATGCCATACGGGAAACATTTTCTAGCTGGATTAAGTATATCCCCAAGTGAATCATTTAGTTGTCGCCACCCCTTTCCTTAGTTAGGCTGCTTCTAATGAACCCCAGAGATGGAATGAGTGGTAGAGGGTAGTTTCCTTTCTGGGCTGAAGAAAGGGTCAGGAGGGACTGTTCTGTTGCTCCTGTATTAGTCTCATGAAATGGAAATTATGCAATTATGATATTTCTGCTCACCAATATCAAGTATGTATTCCATGATGATTGGAAACCATAAGTAATTCTGTGAACTTTTACCCTATTCGTTCCTTTACTTTTATCCATTGTGATAACTTGTAGTTGACTCTAGATAGTAGATATGGTATTGGATTTTTGCTTGTTATGCATGACTCCTTTCAAATTGTTCTTTTTGCACCAAATTTGAGTTCATAATATGATTTATCTAATGTACTCTCTGTTAAACTGTTGGATGTAGGGTTTCCGATAATTTATATGGACATCAGTTTCCTACAAGCTGAAAGACAAGGTTAGACTGTCACCATCAGTCTCAGTTTTTTTCTTCATTAGCATTTTCCCGTGGAGCATTATACCACTATATGGGTACTGTTCTTTACTCTATTTCAGCTGGTTCCATGATTGAAAATGTAGTCTCAGCTCTTGATGTGCCCTAATGTTAAAAGCCGGTACCAATAAAACTTCCCGGTCCATCTTAAAAGTAAGAAAATTAGAGTAGCAGTAAAATATTTCTGGACGATTAGCCACTTTTTTCAGTGTGTGTGCTTAGCTACTGGTTTTACAATTTCTATATAAGCATATAATGTTCTTTACTCCAAGCTCACAAAACTGATGTTAATATGAAACTTATTTTGCGACTTAATCAACTGAGAGTATTAAACCTTTAGTTTGCATGTGTAGTGGTTTCCAGTTAAATCACAGAATCACGGATAAAAACTTTTCAAATCATTTTAATGTGATAGGTTTGGAGGTGAATGACCAATTCAAATTGTACTGTCTGATTCTGATTTGGATAATCCCACTCTACTGATTTCAATACTGCATTTGATATTTAGAACCTTTTGGACCATTGAGCTGACTGAATAGAAAATTGAACATAAAGTAACGCTGGTTTGTCATGGTTCAGTAACCACGAAGATTAGTTTTTCACTATTCGCAACTGAAATCATGTGTTTATAAAGTAACAGATGGTCTTATTCTGCGGCTAAGGCTTTGAAGCCTGTGGCTTTTCTTTGCCCTTCAGTTGCATTAGCTATGCTTGTAGGTAACAGAGGAGCACATGTGCTGAGGTATCATTCTGTGTATGTATATGGTTTTATCAGAAGAGCAGCTTTGAACAATTTCGTATTAATTATGCAAATGAGAGGCTGCAACAACATTTCAACAGACACTTGCTTGAAAGAGAGCAAGAGGTAACTACAAATCATTTATCTGGATCAACCATTTTTGTTCAGCCATAGTAATTCAGTGTGGATAGATAGTAGACCTCAGGAAAATGATTCAGAAATAATTTTAGTATCTTGTCAGAGCATTCTAACTCTGTGTTATCTCTTTCTCTTGCAATTCTGCACTTATTGCAATTGCTTTCTTAGGTGTTTATTTGTTGGAGTGGTTTTGTGAATTTGAGTTGGGTTGTGAACAGTTTGAGGTTTTGATCTGTTTATAGTCCTGATTCTATGGATCCGGGTGTATAATCAATGTTTGGTTCAGTTTGATTCAAGAGTTAGGTGGAGTTTGTGATTGTAGCTAGTGAATTGGCATGGGATTAACCCTCTACAACTTATAAATTATGAGTACTAGTGCTGCGTTCACCTTTTTGCTTTCAATTTATGGCTGAAGCTACTGTGGTGTGATCTGAATCAGGCTAAATGGAAGTGGTAAACTGTTTGTTCGGGTCTTTCTTTGGCCTTTTTATTTCTGTTAAAAAGGTTAGATTTCTTGTGTTGCAAGATTCAGTTTTGATGCATAACAGTTTAGCTACTTTGCTCATCCATCAATGCTTGATGTTCTTAGGTTGTACAATTTGGCCGATGTTTGGTTCTTACTGTCCCATATTTTGCATGCATTTAGGAGATGGCTCTAGCAGGGGATGTGTACATGTTGCAGGTTATTTCACTACCCATTCATTCTAAAGTCTAGGTGAGTTCTTTCCAAGACAAATCACCTTAAATTTTATGTTTTTTGGTTAAAATTGTCTGCATCAATGCAGTGGGGTTTATGAAAATGCTGTTGGCGCCTGTGCACAGCTTGTTTTTGCCCCTATCGATGAATCATTTGCTGACAATGCCCCTCTTCTTCCATCTAGCTTTCGTGTCATTCCACTGGATGGTAATACAGTAAGCCTGCATTGATTGAAGTCTTTTCTTCCATGATGTCAACTTCAAGTCCTCTAATCATGTGTTATATATTTGTAGAAACGACCTGCTGCAAAACATTAGATTTGACATCCACCCTTGAAGTTGGGGCAACAGGGGTTACTCATCCAGCCACTGGATCTGACTTAAAGTATTTTCACTCCTTGTTTGATGATATCCTTTAGTTTTGTTCAGTTTCAAATGTTTAACTTCATTCTTAAATTTTCTGCAGGTTCTTCGACCGTGATGTTGAACACACATCTATAAGTTCTTTGTCAAGAGGTCAGTCTAATTTTGATTCAAGCATATTCAAAAGTCAACCCCCTCATCTCTTTAATATTTTAAGATTGAAGCTTGGAAAGACCTTCCTGTAGAGTTTTGACTGTTTACCTACATCCTCTTAGGAACAACCTCGATTCTTTTCCCCTTCTATCTCTAGTTTAAAACTTGCCTCTCTCTCTCTCTCTCTCTCTCTCTCTCTCTCTCTCTCTCTCTCTCTCTCTCTCTCTCTCGTGTTTAATGGTCGGGACTGGTTGAAGTATCATATATTCATTTGGGATACCACTTGTCAACTTCTACCACCTTTGTCTGCCTAGCTCATACCTACATGTCAAATCATATGTGATCTATCTCGTGATATTCTAACCAGCTGTTCCATCTTTAGGTACAACCTCTCTTTTCAAGACGATGCAGATGATAACATTTCTGCACAGGCACACACTAATGAAGCTGGCAGACCTTCATTTCCCTCGATTTCTAAGTCTTCTGGTTTCTTGATAAGGAACTTGCTGCTAGTGGATTCACACGGAAGGATCAAAATGATATGGCAAAGGTATGTGTTAGGTGTTTTTCAAAGTAAAATGACCATCTCCGTTCTTTATCTCTCATCCATATTAATCTATGTGGATTAACAAGATAGTCTCTATTGGATTTCAATGAAGTTATGCTTGGAATCTTTTGCTCATCATCGTGTCTGGTAGAGCTTTTATCTTTCCACCTGTAGTTAGGTGTGTTTTAAATTCTTTCAAAAGTGCTACTTTTCTGTTTTCCTTTTTTTTTTTTTTTTTTTTTTGTCTTGAAGCTCTTTGATTCAGTTTTAGTTCATTTCCTCAGTATGACATCAAAAGTTATTCCCTTGGATTTGGCTGTTGATATTGTGGTTTATGCATCTGGTGCAATTCCTGTGCTTCTCCTGCATTTCTCATTCTAACTGAAATGTAAACTCTGCAGTTCATTGAAGGAGGTGCTGACAGCGTGGAGGATGAGAATGAAGAGCACGTTTCAGAGGTGAATGGAAACAACATCACAAATTTAGATTCTTGCAGATAGAAGAGCAGATTCCTTTCCTCAAGTATTACTTTTGACTTTCTCTTCTCATACAATGAAATATCATATGGTGCTTATGCTGAAATTTACCATTCAGAAAGAGCAAACAAATGAAGAGGAGGAAAAATTGTTGCGAATAAGTTGAGTGAGAAGGCACAAAGCGATGGCCTTGCAGCACAAGATGATAATGATGAGGTATGAATTTATGTGGCATGTAGTATATCAAGTTTCTTATAGCAGTGTTGAAAAACTTGACTGTATATTACAGTTACATTGTCGATTTCTTCTGTGTATGTAGTTAGATTATAGTTGCTTGACCTTGAATTTTGGTTCTACCTGAAATGATCATCTTCTTATTTTCCGGAGTTGGGCCGTTACAGGAAGACGAAGAGGAAGACGACTTGAATGCAACAGAGAGTTTGCTGCAGACCGTGGGAGGCAGAGTTGAAGCTCCTCGAGAAATCTATACAAAGACAAGAAGAGCTTTAGTGGCTGGTAAAATCAAACGAATAGAATCCATTTGGTAGGGATTTACATGCGGTTGTGTGGTCGGTTCATTAGCTGCCTTGTGCCTGAGTTTTTATATATAGGTGAGAGTGACCAGAAGAGAGGAGAGCTTCTACAAAAGCTTAATGGTATGTAATTAAACAGGCTTTCATCGATGATCATATTATTTATAACAATGGGTTGGTGCAATTGTTCTTTTTGTCGAGATTTGTGAAATCATACTGGGGATCGTACTTATCAGGCTATGCGCGAGTTGTTCAAGGTTCGATCGTCCTTGAACAAGCAATCTAATGTATATAATCGTTTGGTCCTTGCTCCAAGCAATGAACATAAACTACCTTGAACTCCAATCTAAGTTCTACTGCTTCACTAATGTCACACTAACATATGAGCTTTCAATAATTTTCAATTTGTGCTCCAAATAGGGTTTTCGAGCTTCTAGCTCTAAGCTATAGAAGGTGCAAGATTTTTTAGTTGATGTTTATGGTTATTCAACCGGCGGCTTATCTCCATATGTCAAGAAAATATACCAATACTTTTACCTTAACAGTACCCTGGATAATCTGAGAACCCTGGCAATCTCCATGTCAGAGGTACAATCAGATTTCTTTGCTTGTTTTAGCTTTACTAGTCACATTAATCTTTTTGCTTTAGCAGATTTCAAGCGATTTAGTAGAAAACTGCGGTCCATTCTCTATCATGAGAGTGCTCGGGTATGATTGTTATTAGGGTTGGAAATCATTACGGTATCAATATACATATATCAAATATCGAAATTTCGAATTTTAAATAGAACCTTAAATTCAATTTCAATCTCAATCCCAAAAATAAATTTGGTATCCAATCTCTAACATTTTGTCCGTATCTGTATTGATACCTAATTAATTACTTTCAAAATTACAAATCAAATATACTAACACAAATGTAGCTACACAAACCATTGTCAAAATATAAAAACAAACAATGTTGTGGTGCCAACACTCGTGCAAAACAAATATGATAAAACCTCAAATATAATAATAACACACTAGAAAAATGTGGTGGATAAGAAGAGCATGAACAAACTAAACCAACAATCTGAAACAGGGAATGACTAAGCAACCCATAAACATGCTACACATAACAAAATGAACTAAGTATGAGTTGTCAAATAGTAAGCAAATGAACTATGTATAATTAAGCGATCATCTTGGTGATTGAGGTTCTGGTAGTAGTGGGTGAGAGAGCCTGGTTGAATAGGATAAAATACACAATAACTTATATTTCGGTTGTTGATTGGTATTCCGTTATAAACCGATCCCAATCCCGTAATCTCTAATATCAAATAACCGTTGAAGTTCAATCACAATCCAAAAAAAAAAAAAATAACACGTGTTTTTGATCATATCAAATATCGACAAATTCAATATGATATTCTGTATATTCCAAATACCTATACCAAACTTCCAGCCCTAGTTGTTATATAAAAAAGACACAAGTTGTTTATTTACTACTAGCAATCATTGGCACCTAACAGGCTAGCAGTAACACACATTGATACCCGTGAGTAGGGCTGCAAATGAGCTGAACTGCTCGTGAGCGGCTCCGCGTTCGACTCGGGAAAAGTTCATTCCAAACTCAACTCATTTACTAACGAGCGAGTTTGAGCTAAGTCTTCTGCAGCTCGCAGAACTCGCGAGTTAGCTCGACTCGGTGGCTTGTTGAGTTCAACTTGTGAGATGGCTCGTTTAGAGCTCATGAAGTCATGATATGTCTCAACTCTCATTATTGCCAACTCAATTATCGACTTATGAGCGAATCGATCTATATGAGTTTGATTTTGATAATTCATAGGATTGTTAAATTATATATATCTCACCCTATATGAAGTTTAACACATAAATAATGTGTGCAAATATGTTTTAAAAAGAAATTATGTATCATAGATTGTTTCGATACTATGAAATAACATAATTGTGACTAGTTAAAATTTATTAACTAAATAACACGATACCAAAAAGTATAACATGAGATTAGTTAATATTGACACCTAACTATTATTATTTCCATCTTGACAATAATCGCGTGTATCATACATGACATACAAAATGAATATATCAAAGACGAGTCAAGATTTTAATAAACAAGTTAACTCAACTCGACTCGTTAATAAATGAGTCGAGTTCGAACTCAACTCGTTTATTAACGAGCCAAGCTCAAGCTGGGATAAAATTTGACTCGGCTCGGCTCAGCTCATTTGCAGCCCTACCGTGAGCTTTTCCAGCGGTGAACCCCCTACTAGACTTCCTCTGCATAATTAACACTCCTTGGGCCTATGTTAAGTATTTCGGCCCTCATCGAATTACCCGAATCGTGATCGAAGCGATCAAGGCCGCTGATTTGAGTGAGCTCCGGGCCTCCATCCATCATCCTAGACCGATATCCACTCAAGCTCCTTGACTCGTCTGTCCCAACTCGTATATCAAAGCTACGGTTAGGCTACCCATGTTCGGCCCGAGCCCGCCGATGCCCATCCCGGTTCTTAATGCGGCCAAGCATCAATTCTTGGGCCTAGTTGGTTCTAGCCCTACGGCCCCAAGTCGCCTCTCTTCTCCCTTTCGGCTCAACCTCCTCCACCGCCTAGCTTCTCCATGCGGCAGCGCCCATGCAGAAAAGGAAATAGTAGAATTTGGGTTTAATAGCATAAATTGCTACTTTACTATAACATTTTCTCAAACTTACCCCTCTATTATTATTCACATCAAACTTACCCCTCTACAATAATCATATTCCAAACCGGCCCTTCCCTTAACTATTCCGTCCAAATTTACCCCTCGCCATGCCGAGACTCTCATCCTTGCCAGCAAAACCAAAGGAATCGAAAACTGAGGATCCCGAACCTACATAAAGAGAGGTGCCCTCTCCGTTTGACAGTAGGGGCAAAGAGGTCGTTAAACGTCGACTCAAAGTCGGTTCAACCATAGTTAACTAAATTTGGACAGAATAATTAACGGAAGGGCAGATTTGGGAATATGATCATTGTAGAGAGGTAAGTTTGATGTGAATAATAATAGAGGGGTAAGTTTGAGAAAATGTTATAGCAGAGAGGCAATTTATACTATTTTTGATGAGTTTATACCTATACTCATTTATTTGTGTTGGGTTTTTAATCTATGGATTTGTATTTGCACTTATATCCATATGCAAATTACAGTTTCATACCTAAACTTAACAAATCAATAGATTTAGTACCCAAAATTTTATTTTGAATATAAGTCCTCAAAATATTGATGGAAATTTACATAAGTACACATTTGATACCTAAACTTTTTTAGTTTTACAAATATGTCCAATTTTTGTATGTGTAGTTAAAACAAACTCAAGTAAATAGGTATTCACGTCCAACCCATACGCATTCAGATTATGGAAGCAATATACATACCTTATCAAAACCCATTTACGAATCCTCGAACCCATATATACTTCACCCATATCCTACCCATAATCAATGGGTCTACTTGTATTTGGGTAAAATGACCCATGAATGGGTCTACTTGACTTTCGGTAAAATGACTCACGATGGGTAATTGCCATCATTTCTTGCAAAGGACATCAAACTCTTTCGGGGAGTCATTGTAATCCGATCGCGGATAAACCGCTCGGATACCAACTACTAAATGTATAAACTACTGCTATGCTAAACTATAGAGAAGAACTAATAACTTAAAGTTTATTCTTCGCATCCGAACTACATAACACACTTTGTATAGTTATCTAATCTTAACCTTCTAATGACAAATAAGTAAATAATACAATAAATATCTTGTAGTTACACACACATTAGAGAAGAAGAATAATAATGACCACTTCATCCCTTAAATCAATTACTTATCTCCCTTTCATATTATAACCTTTCATTATAGAATTAAAATATAGAATCTTTCTCATTATGATAAATTTGATATTCGTAGACTTTAGAGATTTGAAATCTTTAAAACTAAAATTCACAATACAAAAAGCAACCAAAAAAAAAACAACTTTCTATATAATCTATTGATATAGTAAATCCACGGCCTAAATCATATTTTCCAAACTATTAGAGTATGAATCAAGGTTCTCAACCCGTGGGTCGATTCGCGGGTCAACCCACTTTGACCCTGACCCGGTGATATAAACGGGCCGCATGCGCCCGCCGGGTCGACTGCTACAAGGTACCTGGTTGGAGGTCAAATTGTGTTTTTTTTTTTGGTTTGCGAAATGCGCCTATTTTTCGAGTTTTCTTTTCGTCTAACTCAATTTTTGGAATCCGAAGTTGAACATTTGAATATTGATGTTATATAAGTGTGTGTGAATTTTCACTATATGTTGGATCTAAGTACCTCATGTTATTTTGGTGTAATATTATATGTTATTACTCATATGTTAGATGAGATTTGATATAATTTATCAGGATAAGTACAATATAATGACTCTTTCAATATTTTCGAGCTAAACCGGGCTAAACCGGGTGACCCATTAACCCTTGACCCACTAACTCGACCGGGTCCGATTCAGCCCGCAGGTTGACAACCTTGGTATGAATAATACGAGTAGTATTATAGAAATCAATTTCTATACTCTATATGATATTAGTAATAAAACAATAGTTTTCGCTGTATTCTGATTTATAACATGGTCTTTTTTTAAGGAATGCTAACGTTTTGATGCATCAAATTCACGCCACCAAGAGCTGGAGAGAATATTACAGGATTTCGATAAAAGTAAAAACTTTCCAGTGATTGCTTCCATCTGTGGTGGGGGGAGAATCGGATAGGTTTCTTTCTTGCCTAACAATTCATTATTTTCCTACGGATGGCAACAACCACACCAAGAATTCCAACTGATCTTACTCTTTCACTAAACACAAGTAACCAATAAAACAACCATAGGTTTCTTCCTTTTAGCTTCTCTATTTCGGTTTTGGAGGTGTTGTTTGAAGCACCTAAATTTGATGATGTTGTTCGTAATATCTATGTTTGATAAATGCTGTTTGGAGAATTTCTAATTTCTATTTCAATGATGCTATTCAGGCATCCTTATCTTCATGTTGTTGTTCGGAGCACGTGGTTCTATTTCGTGACAACAAAACTTCCAAGTCACTACTCTTTCTTGTGGAATATCTTCCTTCTTGATCGTCACTTGGTTTTGTCGTTTCAAGTCACTTGGCGAGTGATCAGTTATTTTGTTGGACGCTTGGTTTGACGGCCTAGACGACTTTGGCAAGAACTTTCGTTCTCTCCAGCTTATCACCATTGATGTTTCACGTGACAGGGGACATGGTCTTCATCGACATCGGCATATTTGGCAGAGGAGTTATGTTTTTCATTTTTTTCCGTAGTAATTTGTGTAATTTTTGTTTCGATTTTCAATTTGTTGGTAAGTAATTATCATCAATTATAGAAGTCATCCTATGTACTCTATATAAACCCTATATGATTTCAGTAATAAAACAACAGTTTTCACCGTATTTTAATTTATCAACACAAACGATTCCTTAGGAAAAAGATAATCCAAGAAAAAGAATACATGAAAACTATGGAAAAAAGAGCAAACAGCATATGAATATAATATATGTCGAAAGTCCTCTTCAATGGCAACTGGTCTTTCACTAAAATCAGTCCTGTTGTTCTACTGTTGCCCTCTATGTCATCACCGTCGTTATTCTCCAATAACAGATCGGTGGCCATCATAACATTTTCCTCCACTGCTACTAGCCGGAAGCTCCCCTCACAATCCCGCTCCCAATGAGTGACCAGCCTAAACCATATCACCTGTTCTACCTCATGGTATCGATCATTTGCAGCTGGGGCTTTTTTTGCCACCACCATCGCCACAACACATAAATAGTCCCACCGTTGGAGTTGTTCGGGAAACATAGGTTTAGTCGCCGCTAGCAACATCTTGGTCTCATTCTCGTCGATGCTGAAAATCAACATATCCCCCATTTCAAATAAACAGAAGAATCTATTGTCTTTGTAGCCCACGCCAAGACATGTTTGTCCTTTTTTCCCACTCAATGAGAAATCGTATGTCTTTTGCTCAAATTCAGCATTGTTTTCACGACGAAACATGCAGAGATAGGAGTCGCCATACACCACGAGGATTGCCGAGTCGAGAGCCGTGGGTAGCGCTGAGAAAGCAAATTTGAGTACTGTGTCAGGTCTGTAATGGTCATCGTAGGTAGAAAAACGCCAACTCGGGTTGGGAAGACTGAAGTAGTTTGCAGGACTTCGGAGTAGAGGATTGTACCAGCCCAAAAAAGCATCACGCACTTTTATAAAAAACCACGCACCCGCCATCCCGAGGATTGCTATGTCTTCACCTGCAAGCTCATATGGGATTTGAGATTCACGACGCCGTTGGAGAACAAGTCGCTTACCCTCCCGCACTTGGATGACGTCCGAGCTGGACAATTTTGCATGGCTGATCAACACAGGTCGGGGATTGGAAAGGGCGATGTGAGAGTGAACTTGGTGCCAGTTCTTGCATACGCTGCCAAAGTGAGTACCGTCGACATGAGACGAGAGTCTGTTGTAGATGGAATCCAAGAGATATGGGCATATATCAGCCCATGGTCGTTGATCCTCTTCCATGTTCATAATTCTATCAACTTTGCTTTCAAGAACTTTTATTTTCAATTACTATAGATTTTTGTCCTGTGTGGTTTCGATGAACTTTTTATTTATGTACGTGATTCAAGTTTGAGCCTTCATTTTAAAAGGTTAAAATGATGGTTATAATAAGGAGATCTGTTAGTTCTACAAATATGCACACAAAAGGTGAAACTGCAATATTATTATTGAGTTGGTGGTTATAATATGACCGGAAAAAAGGAAAATTCCTGTTTTAACGGCTCATGAAGCGATCAATATTATCATTTGTTCTTACTTACCTAGTGGATGAATCATCATATTAAAAAACAATTCCTTAAATGAGAACAATTGATAATTTGATTAATGACTATCTTATTTGATATATTGAAGAGAATGTATTTTATAGTTGAATAGAATAACTCATTCATAAATGAGAACAAAATGTCAGTGGACCTATGGAAGGATGACAAGTTCAGATTCAAGTAATCGTACTCACTGGTGACGGGAGAACAGGACAAAATGTCAGTTGACCTATGGAGGGATCTCTAGAAATGGAGAGGATCGAACCGAATTAACCACTTTCTTTGGTTGATTAGCCACAAAAGACGGATCACCAACAAAGAGAGAAAAGAAAGCTAACAAGAAATGGGAATTGTCACCATTACAACACATCATTGGAAACAACATAATATTTTCTTAGACGATGCAAAAATCTTGAGGGTGTTTGGAGACACTCGGAGATAAGATGATGAAAAATGATAGCAGTGTCGAGTTTCCTATATGGATGAACAAGAACATGATGCATTCTCGAAGTAGGGTTGATTTTGACATTTTATTTTGGAACTTGTGGATGAAAAAAATGAATAAGTATTGGACGACAAGAAGTACTCTGAAACTGGATTGATCCAAAGCATTATTGCTTGGATCAATATCAATAAACAAACTCAACTGAAATCTCCAGTGCTGAAATGAACCGATGGTTGCTTGGAAACCTACAAAATAAGAATGGATGCAGATTCAAACTGATGGATCAGTGTTACATAATGAAGAACAAAGTTCGCTTTGATCACTATCATGAGTTCATAGCTAAGCATATTGGTAGCATTATTTTTAGACTTTGGACTGTGAAACATTAATCATGTATATTATAAATGCAATTTTGCAGCAGATATCCTTGCTACCAAGGGTTACTGTAAGCATTTTGGCACACATCTACCAGATGCGTGCTACCTGAACCTTTATCTAGAGCATAGAGTCGTACCCATTGCATGAGTGTGAGCTGCATGGGATTTGGGATGTGCATCCATAAGGTGATAGCTATATTATTTCAAGGATTAAACAAATTGTTATCTACCCACATTCTTATTGGCGGTTCCACCAAAGACATTTATAACTAACCAGAGAAATTTACACTTTTTTATTGCATGTTTATAGTCCTATATAAATCTCCTAGAAACTAACCAACCAAAGAAGTAAACCACACGGGACAAAAGAATCACATGCAACTGTAATGTAATTTTGTCCGTAATTGTTGGACAAAAGAACTAACAAGCATAAGTTTCACGGTTATGTCTTCGGTGCACTCACTTTTTTGGGTGCATTCAATACACCCACCTTATAATCATCATTCTGAGCAGGCAATTCATGTGAAAACGAAGTCAAGCATCACTTGTGGTATGATGAACAAGAACCACATGAATCTGTACAAAACTCATTCAAAATTCACATTAATTTTAATGATTTAGGGTTAGGGTTTACAATTTGGAATTTTGGGTTGAGATTCAAAATTGAAGATTAATGGGTTAGGATAATGGAATGATTAGTTGTGATTATGTGTTATATCATCATATTAGACTAATACTACTACATATATACGGTTTGAATGTATGATATATCTACTCATTTATCCTTTCTGATCCCTCTCTGTTCGTAAGTTTGGCATTTACCAATTACCGCAGTCCCATTCAGTCACAGTAAAAACAACATTGGATCCATGCGGATAAAAAAATAGAGAGAGAATGAATAAATAAATCAATAAATAAATGTTAATCTTGTTGACCAGCGACGTCAGCATTCATGGTCGCCAATCTTGTCGTTGGTTCCGTGCATTGTCGCTTCTTGCACCCCCAGAGTTTCGTTCCCTTCAACCGATCCCGTTTCTTCCTGGAACGAGTCTTAGAGAAACGTTTTAGAAATCAGATGTATATTTGCATTTTCGCATCACATGATTATTATTTTATTTATACTGTTTCAAAATATATCTATGAGATTGACCGTCGCTAAGAGAAGTTTGCCATGGATCAGGATGGGCACGAATTGACATACACATAACACATGTATGTATTGCCCTTGTTGTATAGTGCTCTATATCATATGCTTGTGGTGATAAGACATGGAAAACTTTGACAATCCCCACTACACCACCATAATTATTAGCCAGCAGAAAATTCATTTTTCAATGAGTTGGTTTATACAATGTTACCGTTTGCCCTCTCGTGTAATATGCTTCAATTTTTTTTTTCTTATATAAAATGTCAACAACAAAAACATAATTTATATATTTTGTAACCAACACATTACTTGGGTATTAGCCATATATAATACTACTTTTGGTTTTTGAATGATAATTTTTTATGTCAACTTTCTTTGCAAATTGTAATGATTTCAAAGTGTATGAATCATAACGTAACATGACCTGAATTTGAATGCGGTCTCCAAAAATATTAATGACTATTTTACTAGAAAATAATTGAAAACTATTATTTGAGAATGATTGAAAAAATATTGAGTTTATGAAGATGAAACAAAGAAGAATTAGTATTGGATTGATGATAAATAAAAAAAAGGGTTAAGATAGGAATGTAATGACGAAAACATGAGACATTTGAGTTTTCCGCAAATGAATGTTGGCAAAATAATCCAAAAAACTCAAGCAAAAATAAAACCTCTAGTGCACTAAATAACTCTCTGGAAATCGATCAAATGACCCTACTGCATTTAGTTGACAATACGTGCAATTTGTATTCTTCATGTACAACCTATGTGTATGTATGTAGACAAATACAAATGAAAGCACATGGAATTAACAGTTATAGAAAATGTGTCTAACCGTAATGGAGAAAATAGTAAACAAGTACTATTGACCAGTTCCATTTTTTCTATAACCTAATATTAGTTAGCCACTTAATGAGCAGTTAAATAAGGCACTTCTATCTCGTCACATTATAACCAATAATAATAGTACCACTATTCCCCCTTTTGTATGCATATTTGTAGACCTAACTTTTCTCCTTAATTATAACACCACCATGTATACTCTATAGAACATTTAAGAAGACGATGCAAATGAACTTGAATCATCTCCAAAAAATGAAAGAGTTTAAAAAATCACAAAAAGTTTGATAATAATTCGAAACAAAATAGATCCCAAAAACAAAAGTTGATAGATATGATCACCGGAGAGAATCAGCGGCCATGGGCCGATTTATGTCCTGATATCTTGGACTCCATCTACACGAGACTTTCGTCCCACGTCGACGGTACCCACTTTGGCAGCGTATGCAGGAGCTGGCACCAAATCCACTCCCACATCTCACTTTCCAGCCCTCTGCCCGTGGAGATCAAGCACATAAGCTTCTCAAGCTCCGACGTCGTCCAAGTGCGGGAGGATAACCGACTTTTCATCCAACCACGTCGCGAATCTCAAATACCGGAGATGCTTGTAGGTGCGGACGTAGAAATCCTCGGGAGGGCGGGCGCATGGTTGCTTATAAAAGTGCATGGCATTTACTTGGGTTGTTACAATCCTCTACTCCGAAGTTCCGAAAGCTACATTGATCTTCCTTTGCCGAGTTTTCACTTTTCTAACTACTGTCGTGATCGGGCACCAATCCCAATTAGCGTCGCTTTCTCCGGACTACCCACTGCTCGCGGCTCGATGATCCTCATGGTCTATGGCGATCGATATTTCAGCATGCTTCGTATTGGTGATGACTGGAGGTGGAAGACTTATGATTTCTCCTTGGGACGGAAAACGAGACAAATTTGCCTTGGCGTGGGCTACAAAAAGGAGTGGTTCTTCTGCTTATTTGAAATGGGGGACATGTTGATTATCAACACGGACCATAGTGAGACGAGGATGTTGCTGGCGGCGACCAAGCCTCTGCTTCCGGAGCAACTCCAACGGTGGGAGAGATTGTGCGTTTTGGCGGTGGTGGGTAAAACGACGACAGTGACTAATGATGAATATCATAAGCTAGGAGAGACTACAGGGTCTATGGTGGTCAGTCATTGGGAGCGAGATCGTGAGGCGAGTCAGAAGAATAGCTTCGGACTGGTAGCGGTGGAGGAAAATGATATGAGAATGACTGATTTATTACTGGAGAATGGTGATGATTGTGAAACGGTGTCATTGGAGGATGGGGATGACAGCAAAGGGGTGGTTTTTGTGAAATACCCATTGCCCTTGAAGAGGAATTACGACGAATGTTATGCTTTCACATTGTTCATTGTTGCTTTGATAGTTTTATGTGTTAGTTTCTTATGGATTGGCAATTTGATCCACGGTTGGATTTATAAATAGGACAAAAGCATGTGGGATTACGAATGGGAAAATAAAATATGCCGCATATAATGATCAATGTTCCATTGTTTGCTTATACGATTGTTGCTTTATGCATGTAAATGTAACAATACATATATGATCTTCTTTGTTCATCCTCGTGCGGCCTAGCCTTGGGTTTAGTTGTAAGACAATGATACTATTCGAAGAGGAAGCGTGATGGCATAAGACAATAAAAACAACGTGGTTTAATCTTGCCTTTAGAGCCTCTTGGTAAACCATAAGGCATTCGACTGCCTAGGCGGAGGACCTAACTTCGGTAAGATGGGAACGAGGCTTGGAATAAAATTATGATGGTCAAAGATACTGACTTTAACCTGGTCTTAATTTGTCCAGAAAAATTGGTGTCCCGGGCAATCAATTTGTCCCTGGCCCGGCTAATTAAGAGACTGACAATAAGTTTATCAGAAAATTTTCTCAAAGACTATCTAAATGTATGTGCCAATTATAGGATTAATATCGAATAGACTATTATCATTGGAACATCCAAAGTATAAAAAAGTGTCACTTCTATTACAAACAATTCAATATGACAAATTATCTCAAACTATGAGGTTTCAGGTCATTTATATATAGGTTAAGTATTGAAATATGTATTTATTTTCAAGGTTAATACATTGAAGATTGGAACCGAATTTAGTTTTCGATTTCCTCCTCTTTCTAACTTCTCTTCTTTATTACTCTCTTTCCGATCTGTTCCAAACAAAAACACCAAATATTAGCCACCACCTTCTGATTTCCGAACCAAGAAGCAGATTGGTTAGATTGAATGCTATTCATTTCACATTTCCCCAATCAGATTACAATTATATTGCTACCCTTACAAGTCAAGTAGAAACGATGTCAAATTGTCAATGAAAGTATCCACTCACATTGACAAAAATTAACCATGCATGATTATTAATTAATATTAAATCACAAGTAGACTGCACTGTTGCATACGATTTTTTCTCCTATTCACTATTCATTATGGGATTGTATATTGTACGGCCGGTTTTATTGTCATAACCTCATTCAATTAATTTTCCTCCCTAAATATCACACGGATGCTTGCCAAAATTTTCCGGTTCTTATATTCCCCTCCCCCCCCCCCCCCTTTTGTTTAGTTTTACAAAGAAGGTTTTCATTCATTATAACTTGAAAGTTATAAAATGCTTCAAGTAATGATTACAGAATGACACTTATTTTTAACGTAATAGTTATATTAGACATGTTACGTTTTCACAACGATTTGGCACTTTATGCAATATGATGTTATGATATGTGAAAAGACCATCGTAACGTAAGACTCATTTTACAACTACTATGTAAGATCTAAATACATTATGTAAAGGTTACAAAATTTAACAATAATCAATGTCATAGTTTAAGTTGATTAAGACAATACCGTAATGATTAAGACACTATGAAAGTATATCACTTAAACTATCTATTGTGTATTATAAGTTTGAAAGAAAGCTTAAACTAAGTATTATGTATCAAAAGTTTGAAAGATATTTTTTATTATTAACTAATTTGTTGAACATCTCATCAATTTACATTACACAAAGGTTCTGTAAGGTCGGCTATTTTTTACGTCATATTTTAATCAAAAGTGAACTTTTCTTAACTTAAATTCTTTATTATTGACTAAAGTATCCATTATCTAATTTGCATCAAGGTGATGTTATTATTAGACCACATGTTATGGATTGATTATGTATCACACGTTCAATAACAGTCATGTAAATTACAAATCCATTCCGTACAAATTATGGACGACTAATTGTTTCTTATTTATAAATTAGAAATGTATTATTTAAGTATACTGTGATGATTAAGACACTACATAAATGTTCTTGAGAGATAGTTATTTCTTATGTATCACTTAAACAATCATATCATGTAAGTCTTCTCTATCATAAGTTTGAGCAAAAATTTCTATTATTAACTAAACTATTGATCATCTCATCAATTTAGATTACACAAAGGTTTTGTAAGGTGAGTTATTTTTTAGTCCCATTTTAATACTTTTTTCACTTAATTCCTTTATTATTAACTAAAATATCCACTATCTCATCAATTTGCGTTACACAAGGTTCAATAATGACAAGTAACTTTTACATAACACTTTTATGAAATGTGATATCTTTATTAATTTGATTTATTATTAGATCACACATTACAATTATGTAATATCTTTACAATAGATTTATGTAATATCGTTCAATTATGTAAAATTATGGAGGGATAATAATTTTAGACTTTGGGTGCTTGAGTTAATTATTAAAAAACACAAATTACATATTTATGTAACACTGTTCTAGAATAATTACTTGAGTTATAAATTCATAACATAAATATAATGGAGTGATGATTTTCTTATGTATCAATTAAATAAACATATTAGATTATTGTATCTTAATAATTAACACACACTTAAAACTTATAGAAGTATAGTTAATCAAACAAATACGATACTTTTGTAACTGAATTCCTTTACTATGAACTAAACTATTAATCATCTCATAGTTTGCATTAGGGTTAATACCTTGTTATGGCCTGAACTATGACCATGTAATCAACTTTGGCCAGTGGTTTGAGAAAGTAACATCCTGGCCCGAACTAGGGCTGGCTATTTGGACCGGGACCGGATGAAAAACCGGAAACCGGACCGTATAACCCGGACCGAGACCGGACCGGGACCGGATAGTAAACAATCCAATCCAATCTTTGGGCTTAGATTTGAGGTAAAAAACCGGATAAAGACCGGATAAGAGAGCTCAACACCTAAAACTTAAGGGTAATTTGCATAAACGGTCACAAACCTTTGCACTTAGTACAAAACTTAATCAACTCCTCACCCTTTTAGGCCTTAGGCCACTCAAATTCCCACAATCTCAATATAAAATCAAGACCGAATTGGGACCGGACCGGGTCAAGACCGGACCGGATCAAGACCGGACTGTATCCAATCCAATCTTCGGTCCTTATATTTTCAAAAAACCCGGACTGGACCGGATCAATTTGGGCCAATTTAACCGGACCGGACCGTATAGCCACCCCTAGCCCGAACTATGCAGCATATAGACAAAATTGGCCTGGAGCGTGGTTTGACCGTTTGTTTGGACGGTCAACACCTTTGACCGTTAGTCAACTGTCCAGGTCACTGCCATATTAGCATAAAAAATTATAATTTCATTTTTCTTTTTATTTCATTTACAAAATTGAATAATTAAAAAAAAACAAAAACAAAAACTTTTGGCCCACCCATCCCCACCTTATCCCCTCACCTTCTTTCCTTTTCGATCAAACCCAAACAAACCCTATCTTCCTTCTTCTTCCTCCTTCTTCCCCAACGATGAAGCGATGGCCACCAAGTCCAAAATCTTCTTCGTCATGGAGTACGTCAGGGGCGGCGAGCTGTTCGCCAAGGTCGAAAAGGGGAAACTCGACGAGGACCTCGCCCGCCGCTACTTCCAGCAATTGATCAGCGCAATCGACTATTGCCACAGCAGGGGAGTCTCCCATCGGGATCTGAAGCCGGAGAATCTATTGCTGGACGAGAACGGGAACCTCAAGAGCTCCGATTTCGGACTCTCCGCGCTCCCGGGTCAGCGTTGGAACGACGGGTTGCTCCATACCCAGTGTGGGACCCCTGCCTACGTGGCGCCGGAGGTTCTCCGGAAGAAAGGGTACGACGGGGCGAAAGCCGATATTTGGTCCTGTGGGGTAATCCTCTTCGTCTTGCTCTCCGGCTATTTGCCCTTCCTCCACGAGAATTTGATGAAGATGTATGTGAAGATTTTCAAGGCCGATTACAAGATCCCCAATTGGATTTCGAAAGACGCTAGGGATTTGATTTCCAGGCTTCTGGTGGTGGACACGAAGAGGCGAATTTCGATTCCGGAGATTATGGAGAATCGATGGTTCAAGGTTGGGGAAGAAGGAGGAAGAAGATGGAAGATAGGGTTTGTTTGGGTTTGATCGAAAAGGAAAGAAGGTGAGGGGATAAGGTGGGGATGGGTGGGCCTAAAGTTTTTGTTTTTGTTTTTTTTATTTAATTATTCAATTTTGTAAATGAAATAAAAAGAAAAATGAAATTATAATTTTTTATGCTGACATGGCAGTGACCTGGACAGTTGACTAACGGTCAAAGGTGTTGACCGTCCAAACAAACGGTCAAACCACGCTCCATGCCAATTTTGTCTATATGCTGCATAGTTCGGGCCAGGATGTTAATTTCTCAAACCACTGGCCAAAGTTGATTACATGGTCATAGTTCAGGCCATAACAAGGTATTAACCCTTTGCATTATACAAAGGTTATGTAAGGTCAATTAACTTCTACATAACAGTTAATCAAATGTGATACCTTTCATGACTTGATTCTTTTAGTAGACCATTATGAAAGATTAATGTAACACCTTTCTATAACAGTTATATAAATTATGAATACATTGTTTAAAACTTATGAATTGGGATAGATATTTCATATGTATGGTTATTAAACAAATATATTATGTACTTTTTCATAACTACTAATTAGACACTACGTTTTTTTTTATGGAGGGATAGTTAGTTTCTATGTATCTGTTAAACAAGTGTTTTGCATATATGTTCATAACGACTAGCCGAATGGTTATGTAATTATTATTTTCAACAAAATCACCAGGAATGAATTGTAAAATAAATTTAGTTTCTTTCCGCCGCGAAGCGCAGGCTAATAAACTAGTTTATATTAAAGCATGAAGTTCTTGGTTGTGCTAAACAAAGGTGGAAACTTAATTTCCAAGCTTCTCATTCAAACCAAAAATCAATATACACCGAATTATACAGAATGGAATCGAGTTTCAAGCTCTCAAAAAGCCCTTCCTCCCCATTTTTCTAATGCCAACCCTCTTCAGATATGCTGGTTCCATGCAAGTGGGCAGATGATTCATATTCAAATGAAAGAACTTTCCACCTTATATCATCTTGTTGTCCATCGTAGTGGCTCAAAACATAGCAAGATCTTCAATGATTCTTTTAGCTAGCTAGCATGAGCTTTGCTGAGGTTCTAGGAGAGACCAACACCGGCTGGTTGCTAGATGAAGCTTTCATGGCAGCAATCTCTTCGAGGCGTTTCCACGTGGTTTCCCGTCTCGACTTGATCTCGTCCTCTTGCGCTTCATCTTCCTGGAACTTGAGCAAGCATTCTTCGAAGAGCTCCGGATCAGCATCGGAGAATATCTTCCTGACATTCAGCGTCAGGCTTTGCACAGCCTGGTTCCAGTGGCGCCTGGCGTTCCTCTCCAAGGAAGGGAAGATGATGGGCAGTATGATCTTTCTGTTCTGTTTGATTAGGTTCTCCACGTGATCGTTGTTCCATAAGAACAAGGCCCTTTCCGCCACCTACAAAACAGTGAGTTTTGAGTAAAAGATATGTACTATACTTGACTCGCGCGAACAGGTAATAATAAGCCAATATGTATACTTTAAACACGCTAAAGAGAATTTCTGCAAAGCACCAACTCGCCCTGATCAGTCACCATTGAATTTTCTGTTTCCCGTCTTACCTCAACAAAATATGACTAAGAAATGAAAATGCCAATGCTGATTCATCAGGACGAGTTGGGTGCTTTAATAGTATCAATACTGAGTTTCAAGCCCCAATGGGGCAATGTCATACATATACGTTATAACCAAATTGGGATTCAGCCCCATCTCGAGAAGTTGAAGATTCACTTATTCACGAAAGGAAAATAAAACAAGAGCAAAAATCAAATTACTAAGAGCATTCTGCTAAGATACCTGAAAGTGGGAACTGCTCAAACACCGACTAATCTGGCGAAACAAAGGCACCATGCAACGTTGAAACTCTGCAGGCTGAGTAGCTTCAAGAACCTCCTCCAGTTCACTCAAGAACATTACTTCTTTAGCACTATTTGTAACTGGCCAATATTTCAGCAAACCCCTAATCACAGTATCAGCAAGCTTGCAGTCTTTCTCAACAAATTGAGTTATGCAGTATGACAACTGCTGGTGGTACATTGGCAAGCACTTCGGTTTATGCAACGGAATAAGAGCTCGAACAAGAAACAACTTGTGCTCTTCCTTGAGAGGTAGCGCAAAGCCATTGATGATGCTCCCCAATATCTCCAACAGCTCCGCAATCCCATTGTGCTTCTCCGTCTCAAATATGAACCGGTAGAAGATGTTGTTGATTGCCTTCCTAATGAAGGGCCTGTGCACCATGAATTTCCCATAGATTCGATGCAGGACCGTTTTCAAATACTCCCTTTCTCTTGGGTCCTCCGAATCAAAGAGATCGAGCAACCTTAGTACAAAAGAGTGATCAACATACCGTTTAGCTAGTTTTGCATCAGTTTCAGGTGATGCCACAAACCTTAATAACAATTCATACACGACTTGCAAGTGGGGCCATGCAGGGTCCATGGACGGCTCTTCCTCTTCAACGTCAAAAGCTTCCAATGCTTTGTTCTCACGAGGTGGAGAAGTGAGTGGTCTAAACAGATTTAGAGAGACCATTCTGATGAGTTCTTGTATGACTATCTCAGGAAACTTTGCGCTGGCAGAGGAAATATAGTCCACAAGCTCTACCAATGTCTGTCTCTTGATGTCCTTTTCCTTGAGGTTCTTAGTAGGATCAGTGAAATCGAAAATGACAGAACATAAGATCACCTTTCTGATGAATAAGTTCTGCTTCTCTGCATTTGGAACTTCGCGGAAGCTAGGCAGAGCTTCATATGAAGGTTGATTACCATTCGGCTTTACAGGCAGGGAGAGCTTGTTGCTGTAATTTGAACCGTGAGCCGGATTAGAATTCACAGCAGGTGAAGATGTGGCATTTGGTCCTCCACCGTATCGGTTGTTTGTGAAATCGTTGGTTCTCGAGCTAGTGGAAGTGTTTGATGAGGTAGAAGTTCCTCCTCCATCACGATGGTCGGACGACTTTGGCTTCCTAGGGAGCCTATTGAGGAACTGTTTGATCATAGCTCAAGTTTGCAGCAGAATTCCGTCTTTCGGGTTGACTCTAGACCGAGAAGTTATCAACACTCTATACCCAACTGATTCCTCTTACTACTACCAATAACACCCATTTCAAGAGAGAAAGTGAATTCCAACCAGTGAGGCAAAGACCCTTCCTAAGGTATGAACATACCTCCAACCGAGTTGCTACACCACATTGCTTCAGAAAACTCCATTTCCAGGCAAGATATATCTCTCAATTTAAGATCCCCAGAGCAAGAAAAAGGTCAATCAATCAATTTTGTCTCCCCCAAACAATCATAAACATGTTTCTGTGCTTCAATGGCACCAGAATTCTGAAAGAACAAACCATCATACGATGAAATATCAGAACAACCAGCAATTGATCATATTGAAGGCAAGGAAAACTTAAGCAAATCTAAAACAATTCCATCACCTCTTCGTCCTCTATCTCGTCTTGCTGTATTATATTCCTTCTTGAGCTCCCCTGATTTCCACTGTTGAACCAATTTGAAGTGGATCAGAAGGAAACGAGATCTGGGTAATGATCTGAAGAGCCAAAAGCACCTGCAATCAACAGAAACAAAATCCAAAAACAGAAAACCCAATAATTACTCATCAACCCAATACCACAAACGATGGGGAAAAGTACCAGATTCCCATTTCCAATCATGGAGCTAACAAAAAGGAAAGGTGAAATCCCAGATAAAAAAGGGGAAAGCAGAAAAAGGCGACGAACAATCAATCGATACACACACATGTACCTGAGATAGATGGAAACAGAGAGAGAAATTTCAATTGCTCGGGAGAGTGAAGAATCGGATAGAGATTGTGAGACCGGAAAGGAAAGTGGAAGAATAAGGAAATTCTGGGTATTCCAGGATGCTGCTCGCTGGCTAGTGGGTTGTGTCTCGATAGATGAGTTTTTTTTTTCTTTTTTCCCCTACTCTTCTCGATGTATTTTGCTTCTTCTTCTTTGGCTTTGTTCTCCTTTTTTTGTAAGACTTTTTTCAACCCCAGAAAATCACACAGACAAACCCACGGTTTTGGTTTTTGTTGGACTCCAGATCAAAATTAAGATGAGACCTACTTGAGCAATTACTAAAATTTTGGATGATTAACTAATTAATTAGTCTTTTAAATTTGATTTATCAACAATTTCGTATTTTAAAAAGAGGGTTTTTAATTGTCGTCCTAATTTTCTTATAATCGCTCTAATTGAAAATTTGAAATTACTTTCGTATCCTTCAATTTTTTTTATTATTAACAGATATTTTAATTTTAACAAACAGACTCTCATTTAAAATTTAGGGCGATAGTAATAAAATTAGGGCGAGATTTAGTCATCCAATTTAAAAATTGATATACCAAACATAAGACATTCTATCATGCTACTCACTCACAAGATCCATGTACAGTAAAAAGTTTATAAATTAATAATCCAGTTTAGATCAATAATTTATCCAATCCCGATTTGAACCAGTGTAAAAAAGAAATGAGCAAACTTAATAAAATAATAAGATTACTTAGGGAAAAATTAACAAAATAGATTTTGTTGGTTTCTTGCATTTTTTTCTCTAGTAATTTAGTTTTTATACTTTTTTGTCACAATATGAAATGATTGAATTTTTTAAATGGGAGCTATTCTGCCGATTTAGCACTGTGCCTTTATCAACTGTCTGATTCATCCATCCAAATAGACGAACCAAGCCAATATCACAGCTGGTTTAACGATTATATAGCTGAATGGTCGACAAATCTGGTCTGATTCTAATAACAAGACTACCGAGTACTGACTAGGGGTGGGCAACAATCGATCAAATATATTTCGATTCGTTTTTTGTCTGCTCCTAAGTCAATTATATACGATTATGAACTAAATCGATCGATGTCTACCTATTGACAGGTAAGCATACCCATAATATTAGCAAAATAAATACAGAATACAAACTTATTTACATATTTTGTCTTACTACCCAACATAAATTCAAAAGGAAGTTGAAATCGAAAAGAACACAGACTGAAACATGCTAGTTACTTTGTCCCTTCCAACTACCCTAATCAGCAGCAGCCTAAACGAGTTCAAACTCTAAGCAATATAAGAAAAGAAAACGAAAATCCAGAACAGAGAGGCGAGTAAAAGCATCATGATGTCTAGGATTCCATCTTTATCAGAAATCTTCTCCTGGATCCTCACCTTGATCACCTCCTTGAGGATCCCTGCTCCGTCAGAAATCTTCTCATGGTACGCCTCCCTGACCACGACGGCGATGATGGCTCGAACGGCGGTCCGCGATTTCCTCCCGGCGCCAGCCCAGCAGTATCTCCACGCTCTGGCCCAGAGTCTCTTCGGCCGCCGATTACCCCCGGGCCTCACCTTGATCTTCGACGCCACCACCGGCTACGCCCGCAACGAAATCTTCGACGCAGCCGAGGCCTACCTCGCCACCAAGATCAACCACGACACCGACTGCCTCCACGTCACCAAGACCGCCGCCGACAAGAACCTCTTCTTCTCGTTTGAAAACAACGAGCGGATCGTCGACAAGTTCCGGGGCCTCGAGCTCACCTGGCGCTTCTTCCGCTCCCCCGGATCTCCGTCGTTGGGCGGCGGGCGAGGCGACCCGAGCAACCCGGCCGGGTCAATCGCGTCGCCGGAAAAACGCTGCTTCCAGTTGAGTTTCCCCAAGGAACACAAAGAGCTGGTTCTGGGCTCCTACATACCTTTCGTCCTGGATGAGCTGAAGGCGACGAGGCACGAGGAGAGGGTTCTCAAGATTCACACGCTGGACAATAAGAACTACCACCACATTGGGCCATGGAACTCGGTCAATTTGGACCATCCGGCGACGTTCGACACTCTGGCGATGGAGCCGTCACTCAAGGAGGCCATAGTCCAGGACCTCGACAGGTTCCGGAGCAGGAAGGATTTCTACAGACGGGTGGGCCGGGCCTGGAAGAGGGGTTATCTGCTCTACGGCCCGCCGGGGACCGGGAAATCGAGCTTGATCGGCGCCATGGCCAATTACTTGAAGTTTGACGTCTACGACTTGCAGCTGGCGTCTGTGCAGGATGACTGTGACCTCCGCCGGGTCCTGCTCGCCACCGGCAACAGGTCCATCCTCGTCATTGAGGATATTGACTGCGGCGCTGATTTGCCTGACCGGAATGAGAAGAAGAAGAAGCCAGTTCAGGTTTGTCACACTCTGTTTGCTTCCATTAGGCTCCCCTGTTTTTCCTTCCCCTGTTCTTCACATTACCAAAAAAAACTCTGCTTTTGTTGCCTCTTCTACCTACTCCCTTCACAAGCTGCCATTTCTCCACCATCACACATTTAGGGAAAAATAATCAAACTATAATGTTACTAAAAACAATTCCTACAATACAAACACTTACAAAATAAAATCCCAACAAACTAGAATTTGGTGTGGATAAAGCGAATTAGGTAGTGATACGTTGAAGAAACCTAGATAGCGCAAAACGAAGCGAACCAACATAGGACCAACCTTGATCACTCCAAAGTCCAGACAGAAGCAAACCAGCCCCGGAGCACCTGGATCCCGTAGAATACAAGCGAACTAGCCTCAAACCATTCGGATCGCACCATGCCGAAACAAACCAGCAACTTTTTGAGGGTTAGATCGCTATATTTATCATCGATATGTGTGATTCTCTCTTATCTCCAGCAATCTACCTGTGTTAACGACTGGTTTGCTTCGATAACTCATTGGTGTTCGTCTCGTGCTCTAACTAACCACTCCTGATCGTTGAACCAGCGTAAACACTTCGTGAAACTCTAGTATTTTGAGAATTTTTTTTGTTAAGAGTTAAAGTGGGTTATTTGGGGGAACTTTTTAAAGTAAGCTTAGAATTTTTTTTTTTTTCTTTTTTCGGTAGAAGTAGTTTGGGTAATTTCCCACATTTAATGCTTGCTATCTTCTTCTTCTACAGGCAAGCACGGTGTATCCATATGACCCCTACGCACGCCAGCCCAAGGTGAGTATCCTTTTCTGCGTCCTTCCTTTCTGTCCAACTCTAACTTACTCACTGAACTGAATTTGGGTTTTCGTCTGAACTATGTTTTGGCTGCTGGCACAGATAACCTTATCGGGGCTACTAAACTTCATCGACGGGCTATGGTCGAGCTGCGGCGACGAGAGGATCATCGTGTTCACCACCAACCACAAGGAGAAGCTGGACCCGGCCTTGCTCCGGCCGGGTCGAATGGACATGCACGTCCACATGTCCTACTGCACCCTAGAAGCGTTCAAGGTGCTGGCCAGCAACTACCTGGAGGCCGACGGCGGGTCCCACAGGCTGTGTGAGGAGATCGGAGGGTTGATCGGGGATGTCAGGGTCACGCCGGCCCAAGTCGCGGAGGAGCTGATGAAGAGCAACGATGCCGACGTGGCACTGGGTGAGGTCGTGAGTTTGCTCAAGAGGAAGAGGGTGGAAGCTGCAATGGCTAAGCCAGAGATTGACAAGGAAGAGGAAGAGGAGGAGGAAAAGGTGGGAGATGGAGAGGAGGATGGCAGTGCGGTGTTTGATGAGATGGATAAGCAGCTGATCAATGGAGATGTGAAGGGGCATAAGGCGGATCCCGTGGGTTGGAACAAACTGGTAAAGAGTATGAGTACGAGAAATGTGACTTTGAGACGTAGGAGAAGGTAAGACTATTGGTTCCGAACTTCCGATGGAGAACTCGACAGATTATAAAGCATCCAGCGATTTTATTTTTAGGAATTGATGGAATAAGATTTTAACGTGTTTAGTGTTTGATAACTAACCTTTTAATGAAAAATAGTTAGAAAAAATATCTTACAAATTAAGATTTAAAATTTCTTTTAGAAAGGATATGAATTTTGAGTTTTCAACGGGAATTCATTACACCTAAAATTAGATGTGTAGGGTCACAACCCACAACTTCGATCTTGTAGATCGATACGGCCTCGGTGACTTTTTCCTAGCCGTGTGAGTCGATTCCATGTTCGATTTAAACACGGTTCATTTGTATCAAGACACAATCTAGGTCATACGACATTAGTCATGTTCCTAAATCCTAACCACTGTAGAACGATTTTCGGTTTGGAACATCCAGTATGATCAGGTGCTTCACTCATGGTTGCAGCAACTTTGGATAGTCCTCAAAATTCAAAGACCACTATTATTTAAGGCAGCATTTCTTTCCATACCTTTACAAGTTTAAAGAACTCAGTCCCATTCAAAGGCAGCATTTCTTTTCCTTTTTTGACAAAACATTCAAAGGTAATGACGGCTTTTGGAGCAAGTTTACAAGCCTTGACGTATAAGGCAGTACATATTCCAGTTAGTAAATACAGTGACAACTAAACCACCACATTAAATGACCCACCCTACTAGAAGGCAGGGGTGCCCTAAAACAACACTATTTATGCACCACTTCAAGTAAATAGCGTCTAAATGAAGGATTGGTAAAACTATACTATTCTAGTTTTGGATGAGACTGGAACAAATATATTACTGCACCTTTTATATCAGATGTGATCATGGTGGAAACCATACAATTTCATACATTACAGGAAAGAAGCCCAGAGATGAAGAAATATACACTTTCATCATATCACCAGCCCTTAGCTCTCTGTCTGTCTATCCCCATAGACAGCCTAAATCAGCAAACACCCAGAAAAAAAAAAGGAAGAACAATTTCACAACAGTTATAGATAAATTAACAATGAAACACCAGTAGTTTTTCTATATCCTAATCTATAGCAAAAAAATACACAGCCACCCAAAATGCTTCCTATCAACCCTTCAATTGTGTGTGTGTTTATCTTGGTACGCAACGGACTCAATTCTTCAGTAATCGATCAAGGAGTTACCTGGAGCCGCTGGGCGCAGAGTTTGGATAATCAAGGCTCGAGTGCTTGATTCAGATTATGCATGTTCTTGGCAAGGACTGGGCTTTAATAAGACTGCACCAGTCTATCTATTCATCAGGCATGACCACGAGGGTCTTTTTCACTCTTGAGTCTTCAATATTTGTGGCAGGATAGATGAATCACAATCAGCTTTCGCAAAATGAGGAGGACACTCTAGTGTGAAGATCAGTTGGCTTGGAGAACCCCAAACCAAGAAATCGAAAAGAAAAACCATGTCACTGGCCACAACCGATCTGGCCAACGAACTGAAGCACTAGAAACAGTGCTGAAACTCTGTGTCAATGCTCCATCAAGGCTGTTTCAGTTTCTGATAGAGGAGCTGCAACAAGTATTCGGACAAGATTAGAAAAAAATTCATATCAAGCCAAGTTGTGGTAAACAAAGCATCAGCCATACAGTACACAATATCAATTATAGCATATGGAAAACCTAACAGCACACACAATACCAGCTGAAAAGCAGGGTTACCAGGGCAATTAGACTAGTTTAGCACATCGAACGCCTAAGATTTACATGGAGTGTCTTTTTATAACGCAATTACCTAGTACAGTAGGGTTAGTTTAGCATATCCAGCACGTCAAGGATCAACAAATTGTTTGTTTGTTTTTGTTTTACAGGTCAATCACGGCAACTAATAAGTCTAAGCAGATGGACAAGCCTGAAAATGAAAAGGAAATGGATTATGTAGTCAAGCAACATACCGAGTAAATCTTCATAAGAATCAGATAACAGTGAGTCGTCTGTTAAAAGAGGCGGCGAGAAAACTTGGCCAAGAGAGTCATCCATGTCATAAAATGATGACCTTTGTCCATCAGACAAAGCACCATTTGAACCAGTGGCCGACAAAAAGCTACTTAGATGGTCATAATCAGACAGAGAGTCAAAATCGGATAAACCATTGGCTTTGCCCCTGGAATCACCATAAGAAGCATGACTGCTCCGTGAGGGTGGCTCCATTTGAGTAAACAACTTTTTGCCCCTTGTTTGAGCAACTCTTTTGTCAGGTCCTGGAAGAGAAAATCCACTTGCTGATGAAAGAGGTAAGAAGAAGTGCTCTGAACTATCAGAATGACTGCCTCGAGAGGATGATTCTGAACTGCTTGAATTTGTAGCAAGAGCTGCTTCTCTTACAGACCTCTTCAAGTTTTGAATGTAATAATGATCATTATCTGCAAATGCATAAGCCATCATCAAACCATATGCTATAAGTTGAAGAACCAACATGGGGGAAAAGATGGAGATGGAATGCTGAAGCTGTGAGTAGCATTAAGAAAAGTAGACCTTGGGGTTGGTTATCTACACGATTATTTGACAATGGCTGATCCAAGGAGCTCCCTTCAGAAAGAGTTTCCATCTGGTTCACCGGGATACTAGCAGATTGCCTCTTTTGTACATTTCCAACTTTTCCAGAGGAGTTGGGAGTCAAATTGAATAGGTGGGGTAGCTTCAATGCCGGAGGACCAGCAGACACTGACCTGTCAAGCTGAAGAGAAGACATTCTGGAAATCAACTCAGCAGCATCATCTGAGGTACCTTCCTAATAATGCACAAAACACCGTAAGAATATCAGTATGGACCAAAAACTGTATGTGTTATGCAGAAATTGGTACTCATCAAAGCATTACCAATGTCCTTCCGCTGCTTTGAGCCTGTATAGGTGAAGTTGCTCGTACACGGTGCTTGGTCATCGGAGGCAAGGTGGAGGATACATTATTCACAACCTCTGTACAGTCCACTATTGACTTTTGTATTGCTGGAGCAACTTCTTTAAGTTGGTTGATTAGCACCTGAGCAGAAACCATCGGAAAAAGAACAAACGCCACCAAAATTAGTGGATGGAGTATTTCTACAGTTGAACTATGGATAATTCAAATGCTCAAGTTTTGGCTAGCAACAGTAGAAATTAGCCCATAATGAAAGTTCCAGCACAAAACATCCATTACCTGGAAACTAGCAAGGTGTTGCTGATGTTCAGCTAGAGTTGCAGCTAAAGACTCGGCATGGCCACTCACGCTCCCATCTTTACCACTTCTCAATATATCTGGGCCTTCTCCATCATTAGCTTTGGCCTACAATATGGATGATAATAATTCACTACATGCTCAATCATAATTTAAATCGAACAACTTAACATAGAAATGAACGGATATTTCCATCTCAACCTCATCCAACAAACTCTATCCTGTCCAATGGATGCATCTAAGGCAGGATGTTCAGACTAAAACTAAAAAAGAAAAGTAGCTTCTGGGCTCTGGCTAATTAAGGCTGTCAAGATGGTTTTGTCAAATTACCAAATCTCATAACCAGAGGAAATCTGTGTGAAAACCTTCTGACATCTGATATTCACCGCTAAGATAACGGATTGAGCACAAACTTCCAGCACAAACAACTCTAAAAGGAAGATGTGAATGATACCATCCAAATTACAGAAGCAAAACTGTCAACTTCAGTATCAAATGTAGATAATAGCATGTTGGTCTATTCCCTAAAAATTCTTACGCTATATGCCTTTTATGTGCAACAATAGAAGCACAAAAGACATGTCCAGCCCCACAAGAGCAAAAGAAAAAGGTACCCAAGAATAGCTGCAACTTTACCTTATGAAAGAAGCTAATTCAAACAAAATAAACAGCATACCATGTGAAGTGATTGCTTATGGATTCGTTGTAATGCATGAGTCCACCGACGGATGATTTCTGCAACATCAACAGTTTGATGGACTCTCCCGCCTCTATCATCAACTCTAGAATGTGTCTCGTCATAAGAACCATCATTCTGATCTTTATCCTCCAAATGTGAATCTGTATTAGGAACTTGAGAGCTCTGATCCATTGCAGAGAGCAAAGCTGACCCTGAGATACGGTACCTGTCATGTAATATTGAACACAAAGAGCTCAGTTGGTAACTAGAAATTCCAAGCAACAGCAACCCAATCCAATAGTATCTTACCTATGCTCTCGGTGAGCTATTAAGTCCTCGATTGGTCCTGAAGCCAGAACTTCATGTTGACCTTCAAAAAGACCAGGAAATGTGGTTAAAGATGATGAATTTACAAGTAGGCATTTCATAATCTATTACACAGATGGACATAACTCCAAACTTAAGATATCTGATGAGACATAATGAAACTAATAAGCAGTGAAATGAGAGGATACCAAATTCCAAACTCAACCATAGAGTTAAGCAACGTAACTGAAAAATAATAGAAGAAAGATTTGGATCAAATGGTGCTGACACTTCAGAAGCATCAGTGTTTCAAACTGGACATAAGAGATCGAAGTCCAATACCAACAATGTCTCAGCTTCGAAATGAATGAGCGTGTAACATTATATCAAAAAGACTAGAAAGTGAATTCAGGCAGTGCCACGGAATAAAAAGCTCTACTTCTAATCAAGATCCAAAAATGGCGTCCTCTCACACCTAGTGTTAACAAATAGTTGGAATACAATCCATGCCAAAAAGAGAATCAAGCACTAAGAAATACCAATGGGAAAAGAGAAAAAAACTGAAATTTGAATTTATGAGCACCAAGTCCACTTAAAAGTTAAAAGAGAGCATTGACTAGGACGAACAAAGAAACGTAAATCAGAAAAGGATATCAGGCAAATATTCAGACTTACTTTTACGAGCTAATATAGATTCCCACAATCGAGTAGCCTTCGAGACTAAGTGGGAGTTCTGACTAGAACTAGATACAAGATCGTCCCATAGTTCTCCCTCGGATTTCACTTTATTCCTCATGTCGTGTAACTTCTCCAGCTCTTGCTGCAGATAAGCCTGACAAATAGAGTTTGAGAAAAAAAAGTACGAGTGGCCTAAAAACCATTTAAAGAAGATAAAGCAATCATTACTGACCTCTTCAGCACAAAGACCACGGAACTCTGCTGTCATTTCATGAGCCAAATTAGACCACATAGCCTGCTTTTGTACAGCTATCTCCGCATTTTTAAGAAACCTTCTTCTTTCAAGCGCCACTCTAGCCTATTCAATAGAAGGCATTCAAGTTTCCACTACCAAATCATAAAATGCAAGTAACGAAACTAAAAACACGGAGTGAGTAACATAAACTACTCCACCAAAAAGCAGTAAAGCACAAAGAACGACCAAACCCTTAAGCTCTACCACAATGGACAACACAGAATCATTACAGATCTCTACTGGGAGTAAATATGTGCATAACATACAATGAGGATAAGGAAGCCAAAGCTATAATATTATGTTACTGCAGGCATCAAGGTGTTAAAGCATGCAGCCAAATTTTATATTAAAAACTTGGTGCATACACATGAATCCTTTGCCCCTCACGATTTGCTTTCATGATGGGTTCAACCAGCTTCATAGCATTTCCTATGTAACTTAAAAGGTTGTCACTAGCACTAAACTAACAATTGAAATTATATTCCAAGTTCCACACCGCTTTCTCATATCATAATTACCTCATTCAGAACATTATACTTAATACCAACACCAAATACTACCACCCTTTAAGGAGTCATGTGTTTATCCCCTTCCCAACATAAGACACAGTCCCATCAACATTACCTTTGTTACAGGAAGCAGAGTGGCTGCATGCTGAAAGGCAACATCCGTTAGAGAAGCAGGTAAAGGGTTTGAGGCCACATCAGCTGCAAATGTCCGCCTATGAACCTCCCGTAAGGCATGCAAAGAAAGTTGCCATAGAAGTTCAACAAATCTGCAGGAACAACAAATGATTCGTTACCTTGGCAAAATACCAGCTACTTCACTATATATCCCAATACAAGCAGAATGCATATCGTTCACTTCATCCAGTGAAAGGACACATAGATTGCACTGCTTCCCCAATGTTCCTCACACCTCCCAATTAATTCCTACAAAACCAGCAAGTTTCACCAGCCTACCTTGGTCCGCAGCAAGTAGCAAGAGAAGAAACCCTTGAATTACTCCTCGGCAGTGCTCCTTGCGATTCAAGCTCACTGATGATCGCTTGCACGACCTAACCATCAGGAAATTAAATAGCAAAATTTGTGATCACGAGAAACAAAGAAGAAGATCAATTCATTGAACTTCGAAAGGTTCCAAGTCAAAGAAATGCATATCGGAGGCACAACAATGAAAATTCCAAGAAGGGAAATTAGAAACAATTCCCACCTTGCGAAAATCTCGAGACTGTGCCGAATCGAAAATTGGCCACACCTTATCGAAATCCTGTCAGATCGCGCACCACAAACGCTAGTCAAGAACTCTACATAGCGACAAATGGAAAAATGACAGAATCAGAGAGAACGGGAAGGGAAAGAAACAGAGGAAGACTGACTTTGGCGGATTGAACAGGACCACGGAGGGAAGACAGTATGAAGTAAAGCAGCTGCTCGCCCAATTTAGGGTTGGAGTGGCGGAACAGGCCGACCCGAGGACTGCCATTGGAGGAAGTGCCGAGGCCGATTACGTTCGGATCCAGACCTAACAGCAAACAGTTGGTGTACATTGCGCTCTCCAGCTCCATCTCTCTCTCCTTCTCTCTGTCCATAATCATCTAATTTCAACGCCACCAATGCAGCCGCCCGTCGCCGATGTTTCCCTTCCTTGCCACCACCGTCTCCCGCACACTTCAGCAGATTCTTCTTCTTCGCTTTTTCTGCTCTCTGTTGATTCCCTTCTTCTCTCTGGTTGGTCTTTCTCTTTTTTTTTTTTTTTTTTTCTTTCGTAACTATTTGGAAATTTCGCATCGAGAAACTTTTCCCTTTTTTAAAATCGGAAGTCCCTCGAGAGTCTGGGAATTGTGGGAAGGGGCCCGCAGCAGAAACGGTGCAGAACGCGGTGAAAGGGAGGCTTGTTTGTAAATTTGTTCATAACGTGGGCCGTTTTGAAAGTTGGCGAAGAGGGAAGGGGTGTATTTGAAAGGGACGGGGGGTGACGTGGTGCAGCCCTTTTATCCTTTTCTGCAATTTGAAAATGAAACAGAGAGCAGTTTGATCGTTGGCTCGTTGCTGCTGCCGGCCTGATCTTGCTACGGCGTCGTTCTGAACGCAATTTTCCCACGACCAAGGCAATGGGATTTCTAATTACCTCACATTATTTGGACATCAAACTTGTTCATTGGCAACAACTCAAGTTCTAAAACTACTGTAGCTTGTAGTGTCGGAGTCATAAATTTTGTTAAGGTGAGTCGAACAAGGGTATAGATCGTTGTGAATGGTTAGCATCAAATGGCAGTTGACAATCTAACTCATATGTTAGGAAATGCTATTATGTCATAGGCGGCGTTTTCGAGATACAAGATGAGGTTTTTTGCCGTTAAACAGATGGTGAATGCGCTATGGAATGACGAGCGACAAGTAGGCAAACCGAGCACCTAGCAGTTGACGGCTAACTGGGTCATTAGATTTAGGTTGTGGCTTGTGGGAGTTCTGGAATCGTTGTCTATGAGTAGAAGACAAAAGATTGGTGATAATTTGGGGAGGTCGTATTAGGAATTGTGATAGATAGGTAATACAAGACAAGATAGATGCAGTGGTGTTTCTTGGTATGATCTAAAAGATACTAATGAAAAAATACATTAGATGTTAAAACATAAAAATAAAATGACTAAAAAATGCACATTAATGCTAATACGTTATAATAAAAGGGAGTTTGGAAGTTCAATAATCCTTATAAGAGTGATATAGATTTGCTTTTTTGTGATTGGATACTACTACTTAAGCACTATTATTGATAATTTTTATTTGTGTTGCAAAACCAAGATGGTGCAGCCGACTCACCTTGGCGCAATATGGCTACCCCACTGGTAGCATGTATGCGTTGACATTAGGCATTCTATCCATACAAAACATTTTCATCATCTCAATTTCACCCGATTGATTGATGTGGTACTAATTTTCAGATAAACCACTAGCATCCCGACAAATAGATAAAAAGTAAAATATTCGATTCACAATGTTAAGCATCAAGTTTTAATATTTTATAGACCTTAAAACTGGACATTAAATTGATTTGAAAATAAAGAATTGAGTTAGCATGGATCCGTCAATTTTGTTTATCATGGTTAATCATATTGTTCAACACTTCAAAGCCGACATTAGGTCAGGTCTCCTTAGAGCATGAAGAAAATATACTTTGATGACTCTTCTCTTCGTCGAGACTGATTTGGATGAGGAATTTAAAAAAGGAAGAGAATTTAATTTTTCATGTATTCTTATCCAAATTTGTAACAATTTCCATTTAGATTCGCAATATAACAAAACAATGAGAATAATAGCGTGAAACATGCCCTTCTACTATGATGTTTTATCAAACATGCCCTCTACTATTTTTTACATCAAACATGCCATTGTACTTTGTAAAAATGATCAAACATGCCTTTTTTATAAAATTTTCATCCAAAAACCGTTAATCAACGCCGAACTTTAGTTTGGGCGACACAAATGACTAAAATATCGCTAATAAATTCACTTTAGAATTTTTTTGGTTCTTTTGTATAATCAAATCATTCAAATAATTTCACTTTGAAAATACCCAGAGAAATAAAATAGGGACAAAACTGACATTTTCCCTCACATTTGCCGATGTCGGGTCTTCTAAATCTCAATTCAACCATGATTGATGATTTTTTCAATGAGAATTTTAACAGAAGGGCATGTTTGATAATTTTTTCAAAGTACAGGGGCATAATTAATGTAAAAAATAGTAGAGGGGCATGTTTGATAAAACGTCATAGTAGAGGGGCATATTATACCTATAACTCATAATAATAGGAATGGCAATGGGGTAGATCCGGGGCGGGTATCTCGATACTCATACCCGCCCCATGGCAGGTCGGGTCCAAGTCGGGTAATTTATCACGGGGCGCGGGTCGGGGCAGGTCGACCCATTGAGTATGTAATTTATCTGAAAAACATTAGAAATATTCGTTCTTTTCATTGAATGACAAAGAAAGAAACCATAATATGATAAAATGTAGTTAAATTATTGAAGAAATTGAGATTTTCGCTTATTTACAACTTTATTATAGCTCAAATATTATGTAATTAGAGGAAAATCTTAAGTAATTGACTAAGATTATATGTAATTTAGGCAAGAACGGGTCGAGAATGGGGCGGGTCAGGGCGGGTTGGGTGGATGAGAGGTACCCATGCCCACCCCAAAACAGGTCAAACAGGTCGGGTAAATCGGGTCAGGTCGAAATTGCCATCCCTACATAATAATATTGGCAAATTTTCTTGTTTGTTTGTTGGCGAATTTTGATAATATCATAGGATTCAACCAACAAAAAAAATCATCACAGTAAACTACTTTATTAGTAAAAAAAAAATAAGTTCACAAATTCTCATGTACACAGGACTTGGATGAACCAAATTAGATGATTATCAATTAGATTAGGACTAATTCCATTAGAAAGCTCAAAGTATTCAAAAAATGTTATTTGTATATTAAACTATTCAATATGACAAATCCGACACAAATTATATGTGTTTCGTGATATTTGTGTTCTAAACTATTCAATATGACAAATTTGGCACAAAAACCACATAGATGTTAAGTAGATTTTCTGTTAAATACTAACGGTCAATACTGATCAAAATTAACAAAAAAATAGTTCGTGCGAGATTTATCCTATTAAATAATTTATACACAAATGACATTATTTGAATAGTTTAAACTTCATAGTTGAATTAGCCCATTAGATTAACATGAAAGTCTTACACTATGGTGAAGCAGCAAAACAAAGACTGGGTTGGGCTTAACCAAGTCCATAATTCTATTGCTCGCCGAAACGGAGGCCCAACACGGGAAACCAAATCGGATCCGCGCCGTGGAAACCACGCATGTAATGATGAAAAGATAGTTACTGTGAGTCTGTGACCAAACGGCACGCGCGAGGTCTGGCTTGATACTTACTGAACAAGCCAAGCATTTTGGGGAAGAAATTATTTCCTTCATTTCAGCTCTCCGACGCAACGAACCAAAGAATCGAAGCCGCGAAGGAGAACTGACCGGGAGATACCAGAGAGCAGAGCTCTTTTTTTCCAACGGAAGTATCAATTTCCCGACGCGGAGCACTGGACAGCGCTCTGTGGATGCGGCGGTGATGATCGTTGGTGATTCTTCTCCTGTGCTTCTCAAGAGACGGAGGCTCACCACTCTCGATTCCATGGAAGCTCAAGAAGCCAAGGTTTTCCCCCTCCCTTCTCCCGCCTCATTTTGATTTCCTTCTACCGAAAACAGCGATTCTTGGTCTCACTTCTTTTGGTCTTGAGTCGGCACCGGCTGATGGTTTACAGTGTGCAAGGGTTTGAAGATGGAATGGCGATTTGTTTGCTGAGAACTCGATTTAGTTAGAAGGACTATTGGAAACCGAAGTTTTGGATTCGATTGTGTATCTGTCCTGTGAGGGACTGGTTTTGTCAAGATCTGGTACTCAGGCAATTCTGTAGCTGGGGGATCATGTTGCGGAAGTTCAATTTTGCTATGCACATACTTAGTAGTTTACTCATTTATAGTTTAGTCAGTAGCATTACTGTTGCTTCCCTAGGGATTTTCTTGTCTGTGATGCTCTTGTGCAGCAGTAGCATCTGTTGTTTTTGACCATCGGGTACCGAATTCAGTGTCGAACATTCTATCTTTACTCAATGTGCCTTGCTTTGGATCTTAGAATGTAAGATGCATTGATTTGTCCAGATTTCTAGACTGTGTTGATTGAGTTGTGAGATGGTTATCACTTGCATGACTTATTGACTTCGTTATGATGAAATCGCCTTTATCTTTCTTTTGGTCTGTTGGGAACTGCTTCTGGTTATGTTGTGGAACTTATTTTTGCCTTTGGAGGGATATGTAGGCCAAGTTTGATGCCGTGAAAGAAAAGTTTGGGCGGGATCTTCGTGTTTTCGAAACCTCACTTGTCTCTGCATCCCCAAGTCAGGTGTCCAATGATGGTATATACTGAACTGGAAGCATGACATCTTTTGTCCTGAATGGGTACTTCTCTTCCCTAATGTTTACACTTCCATTTTTTGATCGACAGATGAGTCGGATGAGTTTTATGAGTTCACAGCAGCGGACTATTATCGACTTCTTGGAACAAAGAAAGAAGGTAGCTCCTTGTAACACCTACATTTCACGAGAAGGCTGTTAGCCTTCGCTGAATGAATTCGTACAGTTTGTTTTTAGTTTTTGACCCCATGCAATAGCCCGTCCATGATTGAGTTAGTAATTTATCAATGAATGAGCTGAATGTGGTATTTAAACGGTCAAAGCAATGCTAAGGAAAGTCTTGTCTGAACTAGTGTTGATCTTTTAGTAAACTTTTTACAGATAAACAGCTGAAGACAAGGAAACTCCGTGAAGCAGAAGAAGCAGCTCGAAGGCCAAAAGTCACGAAGGTTTGTTACTTTATGCTTTTCTGTTAAAAATCTTAGTAGCTTACTTTCTACAAGAATCTCCAATTCAAATTATTTATTAATGAAGGATGAGTTGTGCGCATAGAATGTCTGTTTCACAATCACTAGCCACTTTGTTTAGATTATCTTACTGTCGAATTGTTGTTGTAACCAGGCTGTAATCAGAGTTCGGTTCCCTGATAATCATACACTGGAGATGCCATTTCAATCATCTGAAAAGCTACAGAGCTTATTGGACATTCTTACGAAAGTGGTTGCTCATCCAGGAATTCCATTCTATTTATGTATGTGAAATAAGGCTATTTCTTATCCTCTCTGGATATTACTATTTAAGTAAATGCTTCATCGTTGGAAGGAATTCTTGAACCTTAAACAGAAAGAGGCTAATTTGATTCTATGCTCATTTTGCAGATACAACTCCTCCAAAGAAGCAAATCAAAGACTTCTCAGTTGATTTCCACTCAGCAGGCTTTATCCCTGGTGCAATTGTGTATTTCTCATACAACCTACCAAAAGGTTATTTCATTAGTTGCTTCTCTCCCTACATACATATAACTTCTCTCTGAGTGTGAGCAACTGAACGTGCTAGAGCTATTTGTTTTGCGGCCGTACAGTGGATGAGGCAGCTGCCAGTTCTGGTCCGTATCTCCAAGAAGAGATTATGGCTTTGAAAGGGTTGGATATCATTCCTGAACCAGTTGAGCCAGCTCGTTCTGCACCAGAACCAGTAACAACAGCACCTGCTGCTACTGCTCCACCCCAAGAACCCAAGTCCGCCGGCAAAAAACCTGCAAAACCCAAGTGGCTGAAACTATGATCTGATTTGCTCAGCCGGTTAAGCCCTTTGTAACAACGTCGTAACTGTAAATGGGGGGGTGAACCAATAGGGTTTATGAGGGATGAAAGCCAAGTTAATATCGGATGTGAATTTGGGTTGGTTTCTGGAGTTGTGTAAGGTGGCCTTGATACTGGACAATCATATCGCAGTTACTGTTAGAACAGTGTTGGTGTCCTTCATCGAAGGCAGTGTCGTGCTTGGGAATGAATGATGCTTGTTGTGATTTGTGAGTACACATGAATGGTTTTCCCCCCTTGTGTGGCTGTTTTGGGCTTGCTGTACCCCCTCCGCCTCCTTCTCTGATGATTAAGGTTCCTCACTGTCGTCCAATCCCTACCCGAGTTGCCGGCCGTTTTTTATGGTCCCGTCCGGTGGCCTTTAAGGGCTGGGATTGGATTGGAAAATTGAGGATCAGAACCCGGATAAAAAAAATCATTTGATCATATTTGCTCCATGTCGTTTACAATTAGAAAATTATACATCGATCCAATTCGTTGCCTAGCCCAACCTAGAACAGTGCATTTGACACTTTTGTAGCCAGCAAAGAGGAAAAAAGAGATTCTTGGCAGGTGGTGGAAATCAGCTTGGCAAGTGCGCAAAAGATATGTCCCTTTTGCTCGTGTGATTCGGCTGCTGGCTTGGTGGGTGGAAGTGGGAGTGGGAGTGCCTAGTGGGAAAAAAATACGGATCCAATTTTTGTTGACCTTTGAACTTTGGCAGTGGCAGTAAAAAAATAGTTGATGGCCGCTTAACACAATACTCCGTTCTCGGATCTTGCAATTGCTTCCAAGCACAATTACCAAATGCAGGTCCATATTTTCGTTTCTTCCACTGTACCACAAAAAAGAAACTGTTCTCTTGAAATGAAAGGTCTAACTTAGATCAAGTTTCTTACAATCTTGTGTTAAGTACTCCATCAATAATCGGCATTAACATTTTTTTTATAGTACCAAAACATAAGAAACCATAATTTAGATTATAGTTGACAATCAATTGATGAGATTCCTTAATCAAGAGAATATTCATGTTTGTACAATGATATGTGTAACACCAAATGAATAATAGTCTATTAACAACTCAACGAACGAGAGAAATAAGTCAATCGAACTTTGTACCCTTGTTCGTCGTAATGAAATAGACAATGGTACAACGATCTTGCAAATGATTATCATAACCACTAGAACACCAATTACATCACCTCCTAATATCATAAATACCGAAGTTTCATGAAACGAACGAAAGGGTTTGATATTCTATTGAAAAGAAAAGTAATAGTAGAGTGATCTATTTGTAAAAATTATATACTTTATTATGTAATTGAAAATATTCCGATATGTGAAAAAAAGGTAGTGTTGGGCCATAGCTGAGCGGTATTGGGCTTGTAAGCCCACATAAAGCCCAAGGAGAAAGGCCCGTCGGGAGGCCCGAGAAGCAGACATGGGGAACAGAGAAAGGAGGGCGGCCGCCCTAGGATGGGACAGGTAGTAGGTCGCCTGACACAAGGAGCCGTTACTCGGTATAGGGCGAGATCTCCCCAAGATACTCACCTCGAACACCGCAGGACTGAGCATTAATTGCCCGCCGTAGGCGGTCTAGGTAAAGAGGGGTCGATCTAGGACGCCTGACAATGGCATTTAATGCCCGAAACCCAGACCAGATCACTATAAATACATTCATATCTGCATTGATGGTAAACCAACTACTCTCTCTCTCTCTAACCATAAACACAAATTCTCTATTCCATCTCTAACTTAAGCATCGGAGGGTGTCCAGGGCGACCGCCCAAGGACCCTTGTTTTGCAGGAGCATTGGAGTACCCCATCCTCTAGAACAGACGCGTCGCTCGTTCCTCTCAAGACCGCCTAGAACATTCTAGGCTCAAACAATTTGGCGCCCACCGTGGGGCGAGAGATAGCGCTGAAGAAAGGATGGATGGGAGCTCCAACACCCCTGTCAAAGACATGATCGGGAGAAGAAACCCTCGCGGTCCAGATGTGCAGGCGAGTGGCATCCGAGGATTGGAAATGCCCACTGTGGAGGAAGAAATGGAAATGGAGGACCGCGTGAAAAGCCAGTGACAACAAATATCGAGCATGCAAGAGAGCCTGGGCCAGATTTTGGCCATGCTCAAAGAGAAGGAAAGCGAGACGCCTGGAAGCTCAGGAAAGCGGCTGAACAAAGGAAAGGGAAAAGAAGGCGATCCCGACAGCCCTGCTCGGACAGAAGGCGGGGAGTCCGATAAAGAAGAAGACGCCGAAGATCCTAGCTTGGGATTCTTGGAGGAGCACCTCAGACCCACATATGGCCGGACCAAAGGGCCCACCATCCTCCAAAACCCACTGGCTAGGAGCTTATTCAAAACTCAAGTTCCCCCGAACTTCTCATCACTCGGGCTACCCGTGTACGATGGAAACTCGGACCTGGCTGATCACCTGAGCGCCTTCATGTTAAAGATGCAGCTCATCAACGCCACGGACACGGATTTATGCAAGGCGTTCCCAGTCACATTTGGCGGTCAGTGTAGAACTTGGTACACATCCTTGCCAGAGGGAATAATTGAAGACTTCGAGCAGTTCGCGACCCTTTTCTCTTCGAAGTTCGCGTCCCAGCGAAGGAGAAAGCTGACGGTATCGTCACTGATAAACTGCAAGCAAGGGGGAGACGAGCCGCTTGCGGACTTCTACGATAGGTGGAACACAATAGCTGGTGAAGTGCAGGGCATCTCACCGAGTGTGGCGGCGGGAAACCTGCGTATGTCCACACACAGCCATGAGCTGCGAAGAGCGCTTATCAAGAAGGAGCATGCGCTAAAGGAATGGCCTGATCTCGACCGCTTAGTGAGAAAGGCAATCCTGCTGGAGGAAGCTATGGTTGCGGAAGACGCTAGCAAACGCGCCAGTACAAGAGGCGAGAAGAAGAAGGGTGGCTCACCCAAGAGGAGGGGGCGGTCCCCTGAAAGGCGGAATTATAAACCCCGGTACACACACCGGGACAACAGGAGAGAGGTTTTCACCACTAGCCGAGAAGAAAGAAGAGACAGCAAGGGTGAAGGAAATGCGCACCAGACGCACAGGAGGGAGGAGGACCGGAAATGGTGCGACTGGCACCAGATGCCCACACATGACACCACAGAGTGTCGGGAGTTCAAGGCAAGCCTGAAGTATTTAGCGCCCGGCGACCTCAAGAGCCGTTTGGACACAAGACCGCATCGGCACGAGCAGAGGCATCAAAGGGAAAGGTCGCCAAGTCCGAGGCAAAGATCCCGAACGCCCAAGAGAGGAAGGTCAAGATCGCAAAGGAGGAACCGCTCCCCAAGGCATGACCGTTCCCCAAAGCGTGACCGCCTTCCTCCACCGCCGAGAAGGTCCCCTCGTCGGCAGCCACGTGTGAACGAAGATGACATCGAAGTCATAACCATTGCAGGAGGACGCAAGAGACCCAGAAGTGAGGGGGAGCGCTTAGTCCAGTGTCTAAATGTCAACAGAAGCGAGCAAGTGGACATCAGCTTTTCACCCTCTGAACTGGCCCAGGGTGAAAGCGCCGAGGATCCACTAGTTATCTCGTTGAGGACGAGAAAGTTTAAAGTAACCAGGGCATTGGTGGACAATGGTAGCTCAGCAGACATACTATTCTACTCTACCCTCAAGAGCATGAAGATGAGCGACCAAGACCTCAAGCCCTCCACTACGAGCTTAGTAGGATTCTCGGGTTCAAAAATCAGAGTAATGGGAGTGGTCACGCTGCAGGTGACGATCGGAGAGGCAGACATAACAAAGACGCGCACGATGGACTTTCATGTGGCTGATTGCCCGTCAGCGTATAATGCGATCCTAGGACGCGGTTTCCTATCATTATTTTCAGCGGTCCCCTCCACTTGCCACCAATTGCTAAAGTTTCCCGTGGGCGGAAGAGTGGGGCAAGTCAAGGGAAATACCGAGCAAGCCAAGGAATGCTACCAGGCAACAATAGAGAGCCTGGAGGTGGATTTGGTGGATACTAGAGGAGGACACCCGCGCCCAGAAGCAGTAGAAGGAGACGCAGAAGTCGTCCTCGACAGTGAGGAGCCGGAGAAGAAGGTGAGAATCTCCTCTCATCTCACGGAGGAGAAGGCAAGGGAGCTCTTGGCGCTCCTCAAGGAATACAAAGATCTATTCGCATGGACCTCCGAAGACATGCCAGGTGTATCAAGAGAACTCGCTGAGCATCATTTGGCGGTCAAGAATAAAGCAAAGCCTATTCAGCAACGAAGAAGGAACGCCTCCTTGGAAAAGCAGATGGCATTGGAGGAAGAAGTAAGGCGGCTGCTCAAGGCCGGCTTCATAAGGGAAGTCAAATACCCAACTTGGCTGTCAAACCCTGTCTTCGTCCGGAAGGCTTCAGGACTTTGGCGGATGTGCATAGACTTCACAAACTTGAACGCAGCCTGCCCCAAGGATGCATACCCTCTGCCAAGAATCGATCAACTCATAGATGCAACCGCCAACCATGAAAGCCTGAGCTTCCTCAACATGTTTTCAGGTTATCATCAAATCCGTCTATCCGAAGAAGACCAGGAGAAGACCGCATTCATGACTCACATGGGAAACTTCTGCTACACGGTCATGCCTTTCGGCCTCAAGAACGCGGGCGCAACATACCAGAGAATGATAGACGCGGTCTTCAGGAGCCAGTTAGGAAGAAACGTGGAGGCGTATGTGGATGATGTGTTGGTCAAAAGTAGGAAGGAAGAGGATCACCTGAAGGATTTGAAGGAAACTTTCGAGAGCTTGAGGAAAGAGCGCCTGCGTTTAAACCCGCTTAAGTGCGTGTTTGGCGCCAAGGCGGGGAAATTCCTAGGGTTCATGATTACCCGAAGAGGGATAGAGGCAAACCCAAAGCAGATAGAGGCTATCGCAGCCTTGAGACCGCCCCAGACTGTCAAAGAGATCCAAGCGTTCAATGGAAAAATGGCCGCTCTGAGCCGTTTCATTCCCCGAGCCGCAGATAAGTGCTCGCCTTTCTTTCAAATGCTCAAAAAGTCTGCCTCTCGTTCCCAGTGGAGCGCAGAGTGTGACAAGGCGTTCTTCCAGCTGACGGAGCAGCTCACCTCACCGCCAGTGCTGAGTGCCCCGCAACCGGGCGAGCCATTATATCTTTATCTGGCGGTCTCGGATCAAGCAGTTAGTTCAGTGTTGATAAGAAGAGATGGGGATGGCTCAGATCGCCCCATCTATTATGTGAGCAAGGCGCTCCTCCCGGCGGAAAAGCGATACATGCCAATAGAACGAGCGGTCCTAGCGGTTGTCACAGCCGCTAGGAAACTCCGCCCATATTTCCAAGAGCATCAGATCATCATTCTCTCAAATCTCCCCTTACGAAGAATCCTGAAAGGAATGGACGTGTCGGGGCGAATGACCAAATGGGCGGTCGAACTCAGTGAGTACGATATAACGTACGCCCCGCGACCCGCCATAAAGGGGCAGGTTTTAGCAGATTTCATC